TCACCAGATCATCTTGCACTTCTTGCCCTTCGTCATCGAGAAGTTCACCTACATAGCCGAGTATGACCATGTATTTCTGGTATTTGTCGAGGGACAGGGATTTGGTCCCTAGGTCCGAGGGGTTGTTCTTACCCACTATCGTCTTTATGATGAGCTTCGGGATGTGTTGTATCCAAAGGAGGTCGACATGTAAATGCCTCGCCTTGCCTAAACCGTTTCTTGAGATAAGCTGCCTTGAGCTTGATGAAACTGAAAACAACACTAGCTTAGGCTCAACTCCTAGGATTCTTTCCAACAATCCTTTCAAGAACACTGCTTCAGACAATATTGAAGTCGCTGCAATTGTCTCAGCTTCACACGAACTTAGCGCAATGCTCTGCTGTCTCTTGCTTTGGAAATGAATCAAGTTTCATTCAGCATGATCGCTCCACATGATACGCTTTGCCTTGTCTCTCGATCTGCTGCCCAGTCTGAGTCCGTTATCACTTCGATCAGGCTTTGCTCTTTGTAAACATCTCCCAAACCTTCTTCTGTTCCTCCGTTTCTCTTCTCTGAAAAACTCTTCCCAGGGTAACTTCTCTTATGTACCAGTGTCGTGCCCTTTACCAGGGGCTTCGGTCTTCACCCAGCCGCTTCCTGAAGAAAGCTCCCTGGCCTTGCCTCCTCAGCCTGAAAACTTTTTGATCTACTAGACAGTTGCCAGTGTCTTCTTGCGGGTGACCCTGACGCGGGTGTTCGTCTTTTCCAGCCAGCTGCGTTTAGTGCGCTTCAGCCGGCCCCGTCTAGAGCCTCGCGCTTCGACCAATGGCTGCGCCTTGGAGCTCCGGGTCTTTCGCCTGGGCCCTCTGAGTACCTGGTTCTTACCACTGATGGTTCTTATTAGGCAGGCAGTGGCGCCGGAGGATGGGGTTTGACTTTCAGCATCTGCGATGCTGCAGCCGCAGCCCACCCGATGCCAGGCCAGTTCACGGGGTGTTGCTACGGGTCTTGTTCTCCTTATCTGCCTTACCTCGGGGCTTTGTCGGCTCCGGACGCCTATGATGCCGAGTTTGTTGGTCCTTTATGGAGTGCAATAGCCATACTCCAGCTTCCGATCCGCTGCAGTGTTGTCATCCGCGCTGACAGCTCCTCGGCGCTTCATGGCTGCGGCCTGATGCTTCGATGCTTCTTTTGATGAACTTTTCGCGGGCCGTTGGCTCTGGCAGCTTCGGGCACGTCTAGGAGGCAACTGTCTTCTTCTCCACCGTTTTGGACTTCAGCTCCGCACGTCATGTCGTCGCGACAAGGTCGCTCATCTCTCTGCTCTTGCTGAGGAAGTTGCTGCGGCCCCGTCCAAAGAGGTTCACAAGGCCGTCAAGAAAGTGATCAAGCCGCGGAAGTTTCGACAGCTGGCGAATGACCCTTTGCCTGTTCTTGAAAAGCCGAATGGGTCGCTTTGCGTTACTGAGCAGGAAGTCACTGATACTTCCGGGTCTGGAAGGTGGTGTCGCCAGACGAGTTGCCGACTTGGACCTCACTGGAGGCCGCCTTCAGGCATTCCGCCCCCCGCAAAGCTGCGGGCCAGACGTCATACTGCCGGCCATCTGCAGGGTCTTTAGCACTCAGCTCACGGAGGTATTCTGGCCGCTTCTGATGAAGTCAATGTGCACTGCAGCAGAACCTGCGGGGTTAAAAGGAGGAATCCTCTTCCATATAGATAAGGGTAAGCCCGGGTCGCGCCGCACTTGTGACTCACATCGGGGAATTTTAGCCCAGTCCTGTTTCGCCAAGGTTTTTCACCGGTCCCTTAGGAGATTAGTGGTTGACTTCTGGGAGTCCAGGGCTCTTCCCGTCCAGCTAGGAGGAAGGGTCGGCTGTAGTGCCGTCTTTGGTCACCTCTGTTCGCGGTCTTTGCTCGCTTTCGCACGTTCCCAGAAGTTGTCTATGGGGCTGGTGTTTGTCGATTTGGCGGCTGCGTATTATGCAGTGATCAGGGAGCCGCTGAGCAGAGCTGGCTGGAGCTCTTTGGGCTCACTGACGAAGACCTCCAACAACTCCGAGTCTATGTGGAACAGGACCCTATCATGCAGACGCAAGGGGCAGCGCCCCACCTTACTGCGCTAGCCCGCGAACTTCATCAGCAAACTTGGTTTTCGTTGGCTGACGACTCTGTTCTCATCCAAACGGAGAGAGGAACGCGACCGGGGGCACGCTTGCCGATGCTGTGTTTAACATCCTCTTCGGCAGGGTCCTCCTCCGACGCCAGCAGACCATGCTACAAGATGTTGCACCACGCGTCCCATGGCACGGAGTCCGTACTCCGTTTCCGTCTGACCTATCGGGGGCTCCTCTTGTCCCTGTCTGATATAGTGTACGCGGATGATTTGTGTGCTCCAGTTGCAGTGCCCACCGCCCATGCAGGGCCTTCGAACGGCCGTGTCCTCCGTCACTGCGGACACGCTCAACACTCTTTCGCCACATGCGTTGCGTGCCAATCTGGGACCCACGAAAACCGCGGCAGTCATGGCCCCGCTGGGTGCGGGATCTCGCCGAGCTCAACATGAGCTCTTCGTTACCCTCAAGGGTCGGACCCCGATCTGGCCTGAGCATCGTGGAGTCGTGGAGTTCTTTGGTTGGACTTGGTACCTAGGTACCGTCACTTAGGTTCCATAGTGTCGCACGACGGGCGTATGGGACCCGAGGTTCGACACCGCTTGGTGTTAGCGGGTGCAGCCTTTCGGGAGGCCAAACGCGAACTGTTTGCCTGCCGAAGCATTCCCGTTGCCAAGCGTGCTGCCCTCGTCCGCGCAGCCATGTTCTTTCTGTGCTTTTAGTCGGCTCGGGCAGCTGGCCTCTGCTCTGCCGCAAGGACTGGCAGGCTTTTACTGGAGGGATCATGGGCATGTACCGGCAGCTGTTGGGGCTCCGTGCTGATGGGAACTGGCACCTGACTGTCAATCAGCTTTTGTCGCGAGTTGGGCTTCCTTCTCCCACTTCGCTGCTACATGCGGAGCGGCTTCGCTTCCTTGGACAACTCGTCCGACCAGGTGTGGGCCCTTTTGGCTTGGAATGGAGGCTTTCGCGAGGCCACTCGAGCTGCAGGCGCGTGGTTCCGTCAAGCTATGGCCGGTACCTGTTCTCTTGGCGATATTGAGGCTGATTGGGGCTCGTGGTCTTCGTTCCTGAAGCTCCATCCGGGCAAATGGAAAGGCCTCCTGAAGCGTGCCGAGGCGTGGGACGTTGAGACTCATGCCCTTCAAGCCTCGTCTGACACAGTTGTCCGCTCCCTGTGGCCTTTCCCGATGCAGCAGACCGAGCTTGAAGGGTTTGTACACGGATGTCTGTTGTGTGGCGCGGCTTTTCGAACACACCGGCAATGGGGTACGCATGCCCAAAGAGTTCATGGCTACCGCAACTCTGCCACTCGCTTCGCCTTGGGTCGGCAGTGTCTTGCATGCTATACTCAATATGCTACCAATGGCCGTCTCAAACAGCATCTTGTTGACTCGGCCAAGTGCCGTCAGTATTTGGAGCGCCTAGGGCTCTCCGAAGTGAAGGCTAGGTTTAGTCGACAGGCAAGCGAAGGACACCCGCAAGCCCCGTCTGTACGTTCTGATGTTGCGGTTCTTATTCCTCCGGCCTCTGCTGAGATCTGTTACGATCTTCTTGCTGCTCTTGGTTCGAGTGGTGCCTGCTCGGACGTCGACATCTATGAGCTGGTTGCTTCACACCTCGCGCCACTCCCCGTTCTCAGGCGTACCCGGGAAACATGGGTACAGACGCTCCCCGGTGGCCCAATTGCCGATGCAGCGCGTGATGTCGTTCTGGTCCTGCACCCGGAACATGTTTGCTCGCGGATTGGCGGACGTCCGGAGCCTGCCCTGCTGCAGGACCCCGATGAGCCGTTTCAGCCCCTTGTCTACTCGCGGCCTGCTGAGCATATGCCGGTGTGCTTTGTTGGCGGTTTAGATCAGGGTTGGGTTGCCTACTGGTCTTTGGATGCACAGGACTCCTGTCGGATGACGCTCGACGACCTTCCTCCAGGTCCGCTGGCATGCAACGGCCTATGCGTCTGCCTTGCTCCACCTGCTGTGGCCTTTGACCATTTCCTCAAACCTCAGTCTATGCCCCTACGCTCCCTTCGGCATCACTGCCGATGGGTTGAAGCCTTTCTTGGCACCTTACCTTGCCTTATCCACACTGCTTCCAAAGGGACGCCTGTCCTCCTTCGCTTGCCGACAGTTGCAGGACGGCTGGAGCCCTTGTCCAAGTGGTTGCAACAAGCAGCTACGTCCGACGTGGATTTGGCCCCCAGCAGTTTCACCGTTGAATTCAATGCTAAAGGCACGTTGTTCCATTGAGCCTCTCCAAGCAAAAAAATGTAGTATAATATATATATATATATATATCTCTCTCTCTCTCTCTCTCTATATATATATATATATACTATAAGGTGTAGGGATCGATTGGGGTCGGCTCAAACCTGCCGAGGCCTTCGACATTCCAAAGCTCCGAGATGATGGGAGCTGCAGACAACCGGCAAATCAGGGTTTAGGGATTGGCGGATTAGGGTTTAGGGGTTTAGGGTTTAAGACTTTATAAAATCGGTTTTGGGTTTAGGGCTTAGGATTTAGGGCTTACGGGAAAGCACCACCAGAGTTAATTCTAAAGCCCTCGCTTTTGCGAAGAAACCCCCACCTTCAGCACCCTAAAACCCTTAATTAACCCTAAACGAATGGAAACTCGTGTAGCATCCCTTATGCACAACGCCGTATAGTGCCCCTTCAAGTTAACCCTTATAGGAATAGGCCCTAAACCCTGATCTCTTAATTCAGGAGGGATTTTTTTTTGGGATACCAGAAACCCTCCGGGGGATCCAAAAACTTGCTGTTCTAAGGGTTCTACAGTTATACCATCTAGTTAAGGGGTCATAACCTACTATTTTGTAGGGTTTGGGGATACAGGTGTAAATAAGGATTACGTGGCAACAGCCCCAGTACAAACGATTCGAAGGAATCCGCCTCGGCCTCCATGGCGAGATGGCGCTCGACCTGGAGAGCCGCTCTTGAGATCACGAGTAAGCTGTTCATTGCCCAAAGGCTCCATGTACCTTTATAGTAGCTACTTAAGCCTTATAAAGGCGTCCCTATGAAGGTACTGTCAGGCCTAAGTATATACTATATGGGTACATGGAGCCTTAGGGTTGGATCTCATCTGTATAGTCTCCATTGTAGTTCCTTTCTTGGGTTACCCCTTTGGGGGTTCTACATGTAAGCTGGCCAAACCAAAAACGGAACTGCAATGGAGACTCTAGCTATTGTTGGGTTTCCACAAGGGGTTTACGCTATAGGGCTTTATAGATTTTGTAAACGGGATGCGTATGGTTTTAAGTGTTTGTGATGTGGAGTGAGAAATTAGACTCGGACTTGGTGGTTTATGAGGATGATCAGGGGGCACGATTACGAAGTACGCGGACCTCGGTCTAGATTACTGCTGATTTAAGGCTGAGGCTTTTAATTCAAGGCTCTTGGTATCTATTCGAAAGGTGGGTAAGGCGTAGGGTTTCAATTCGGGCTCACCGTAAGGCTCCTGCAACCTGACAGTGACATCCAAGCCTCAGCCCCCAAAGCCCACACAGAAAGCATGATCCCTTTAGAAGACCCTAAACCCTAAAGCCCTAAAGCCCTAAACCCTAAACCCTAATCCCTTTAGACTTTAGAAGCCGGAGGGCAGGTTGGAGACTTGAGGGAGCGGGCCTTGTCTTTGTGCCGACGTACCCAGGCTAAGATTAGCCTCTATCTTACAGGTTGAAGCGTGACATGACAAAACCCCTTCCTCTCGGGACCCCCAAAAAGCACATAAGCATAAGCATAAGCATTTTAAGGGGATATCCCTACCTTATTGGGCTTCATTATAAGGGGGGCTTATATGGGATATCCCTATCCTGATTTTGCTTATGTGCTTTTTTGGGGGCGCTATCCTCTCAAGGACCTGGTATGCCTTGGGTACGGCCCCCACTCAATAATTGTTGAATAATATTCATAATATAGTTCTCCGGACCTTAATAGTAGCCCTATTATAGACTCTTACTGTATGGGGGCAGTGCCTAAGGTATGCATTAGGATCGCTATCACAATCCTTATTTAACGAGAGGGCTTCAACAACCAGCGGTTCACCTTAAGCCCAGGCCCATCAGGGCGATGCAAGGATCAAGGGACATCGTACATAGGGTTACAGGGTGGTTCTGAAAGAGTTGCACCAGAAATCCAAAATCAAAACCTACGGGTGTTGCAGTGCAGGACCCCTTGTTCACCCCAAAAGGATCTCTGAAAGCCCAAACACAAACCAAACCCCTAAAAATTTGAAAATGGTACCCTTAAGGAGAACCTTAAAGATCCTTAAAGGAACCCTTGCCAAACCCAAACTCAGAGACTCCAATACCCCTTAATTAAGGAATATACCTTTAAATTAAATTATAGGATACTTAATATATTGAATGCATATTCCTTGATTCAGGGATATTTTGGAGTCTCTGGGAAGGGAGCCCTAAATGCGGTCATGGGCTTTCTGGGGGAGTGTTTGGGCTTTGGGGGAAGGGTGTGGGATCTCACTACGAGGGTCCAGGAGCCTTAGGGTATACCTTAAATTATGGTAGGATCCCTGATATGACTTAAGGTATATTCCTTAATGAAGCGATTTTGGAATGTCTGGGTCTTTCAGGGATCCTTTAAGGGCTTAAGATTTACGGTGCTTTTTTGATATGAAGATCATCATGTTCATTGACATACCCTCATGCCACCCTGAGCGGACCTCATCGTTTCCTTGAAGAGGACCGTAAAGCCTGGGCCGTGATAAAGCTCACAGGGGATATAGTAAATACCATTCGCACGGAAGTATAAGCCCACAGCTCTAAACTGCAAACCTAACACAAAGGCCACCAAAAACACATCCAAACCCAACAATCCTTCGACCGCCGTTCCTCCCAAGTCCTGGAAGTCCAAACCCGTAAGCCCTTTCTACCAAACCCTGCCCTCCACACGGAACCTACGGCAAGCTGCTTCCGTCCCGCATCTGAAAACCTGAACCCCAAACTCCCAACCCCTAAACTCCCAACTCCGAACCCCGAAGCTTCGAAACCCCGAACCCCTAAGGCCCCAAACCCTAGAGTTTAGCACTGGGTGTGCGGCTTCCTTGCACCTGAACCCCACACATAAATCCCAACGGCTTGTGGCATTCCTCTGCTCCTCTTTGAGACCTGTAAACCCCGAGATTGATGCCCTAGAAAAGAGAGGCGCCTCTCATTACGAGAGAATGAACGTGACTGAGAATACGAAGGGTTCCGGTCCGAAGCCACTATACAGTAAACCCCGTAAAGTTGGAAACCGATTAAGGCCAAATCGAGCTGGGATTACCATCAAAGGTGGAATCGGACTCTCGGGTTTGAGAGATCGTGGCGAATTCGTGAACTCCGGATTGCAGAAGGGAAGCCTTGACTCGGGCAAGGACACGTTGGCAGAAGAGGCTGGGCAAACCCGGCGGCGGGTCACCAGCCTTCCAAGGCAACCAAGGCGCGTGGGAATCCCTCTACATTACTCTTAAGGATTGAGGCTATTGGGTTTCCAACTTTTGGGCTTCTACTGTAACCCTAACCCTATCCCTCCAAGGACCTCATAGCTTTCCAGACCGGCTTTCGTGCCCTTGGGCAGGAAGGCAACTATAATCAAAGGGGAAAAGGAGGGACCCTTAATGGGGACCCCTAGCCTATAATGGGCTATATAATAGGTCTATAGTGGCTATATTAAGGGTATATACCTACGGGTCCTTATTAAGGGTCCCTCCTTTTACCCTTGGATAGAATGTAGGCTTTGGGGTTTAGGAAAGTTTAGGGGCTTGGGGTGTAGGGCTATGAGATCCAGGATTTTGGGGTTCTTCGTGAAGGGTGTTGGGCTCTCAGGTCAAGAGTTTAGGGTTTAGAGTCTTTATGCCTGGGCTTCCAGCTCGTATGGTTCTAGGCTTCGGGTGCTTGAGGCTTCAAGGGTTAAACGTCGGAGAATGTCGCAGATGCTTGAGCAAGAGTCTTCGGTCAACAACGAAAATGTGTTTAATCTCTCTATTGTTCTCTTTCGTTCTCCTTATCTGTCTCGTTCTAGTTCTCTCTCTCTCTCTGTCTCTCCCTCCCTCCCTTGGAATGCCGGAAAGGGTTACCACATCCAGTTTCGCAGGGATGGAAGGCTCGACATGCTCAACTGGACAACCTTGCCCACATAGGGGTGCAACACTGTTCTATGCAGTCTACACGGCATACGGGCCGCGGAAGGGAACTCACACGGTCCAACTACTCAAACAGACCCCTGCCATTTGGGTCGCTCTAGCAAGAACGATCATGATCATAGTAGACAAAAGACCGTGATAACCCTTGCCAACATGGAACACATCTGCTGCCGGGTTTCTTCGTGCTCCTCCTGTACTTGGGCAAGCTCCGTCTGCAAAGTTTTGATCTGAGCCTGTTCCGAGCGAGAAATCGCTGGGAGACATGTTGGGATCTCGGGGCAGCTATGACCCATGTTCTTTGTTGACAGGGCATCTTCGTTACAAGGCTGGCAATACTTAGCACCTCCCCGCCATGTAGGTGAAGACCCGAACTCCCTAAAGATCCTGAAGCTGCATCTCAGAAAATGCCAAGCCCGAAATCATGAAATACGTCTCCAACCAGAAACGATGGAGATTCTTTCTGGCCCAGACAGGCTCAGCGCACTTGGTTCTTGGGGCCCACAGCATCAGTTCGCTTTAGGGGTTTATGGATTTAGGCCGTAGGGCTTCGGGTTGAGAGTTACCGAACGACTTATCTTGAAGTTGCTCCGTGGCCCAGTTGAAGCAGTGTTTAACCTCCTTCGGTGAACGAGTTGACGAATTAAGCGTTGACGTCCTCTGCCTGTCTAGCAGCCGTGTGCCATGAGAAAGTTCTGCACTCGTATTGTAGGGTGCCCTATTACAATTTACAGTAGAGTAATATACCCCAAAGCCCTAGTCTATCTGTCAAAGCCTAAGCATCATAAGCCCCTAAACCCTAAACCAGGTACCCCTAGAACCCTCAAGCCTCTAGGTCTTGACAAAATCCAGGGGATGCCTAGCTGCCTTTCTGAATGCAGTGACCGCCGGTTGAGGGTTGGGTAACTCACTACGGTTGATGATATAAATCCTGCATTAACTTAATTAAGGACCCTAAACTATGGGAATAAGGGTATATTCCTTATTATGGGTCATGCAGGATTTATATCCTTAACTGCCTTCGACCAGTTCTTTACCACTGTGAAAGGGGCACTTGTCTTGACCAGAATTCTGGGAAGCACAAAATAGTCATAGTAGCCCGAAGCCCTAAACTCCAAAGGACAGCACTTACGACTTACAAATCATAGTAGGAAACCCTCAAAATGGGGGTTTATATGGGTTCTGGTAGAATCTATATAAACCCGCTCATAGGGCTTTTGTCAGGCGTATACCCCAAACCCTAAACCCTAAATTCAAGCTTAGACCCTAAGCCCTTCATATGGCTTCTGTCAGGTTTCTAGCTTTTGGCCTCCAAGAAACTACCTAAGGCCACGGCGGCCTTGTCCAGCGAGCGCCAGAAGTTGCTTGGTATGGTTATAGGATCATGGGACTTAGTAACTAGGGTTATAAGTTATGAGCTCATAATTGCCTGTCCGCCAGCTTCTGGGCGACTTCAACTTCACCTGCCAGGAAGGCTCGGCCCCGCAAGCATGCCCCCAAACCGCTCAACAGTAAACCCGTTGTTCCCAATTCTTAAACCCCCTGAACCCTAGAAACGACCCCATCGTAACACATAAAATATTGTGGCACTTCCCTGAGCCCTAAAACCTTATAGAATCCTTACGGGAACCGCATAAGGGAACTCAAAGAGCATACGCTCAGCTTTAATTAAACGAAGCAGGCCGCCCTAAACCATAGACCCGATACAGCCTAAATTCCCTAAACCCTGAATTTCCTACACCCTGAATCCCCCAAGCCTGAAATTTCCCAAACCAACTCCCCTGATCCCTAAATTCCCTATACCGTGACTCCCCTACACCCTACATTCCCTAACCGATAACTCATTTAAGCCCAAATTCCCTAGACCTTAAATTCATTCAACCGTAACAACCCTAAAGCCCTTTTCAAATGTACGACCCTAAGCTCCGAAAGCCCGAAATTCAAACCCCTCAGCTCCCTAAGTCCCCTAAACCTAAGGGTCCATGTACCCAATTAGTATATACACTGGCCCCAATGTACATATATAGGGACTGTTTTAAGGCCGAAGTTTATAGTATTAGGGTACGTGGACCCTTCGGGCGAGCCCCAAACTCCGCGCCTTGACGGGTCTGAGCGATGTTTTCCGCATGGTTCGCCCGGGATTTTTCTTCCTCCAGCTCCTGTCTGCAGTGTCACACCCAAGGGTCCTAGGAGGGTTTAGGGAATGTAGGGTTTATAGGGTTTAAGGTTCGAGCCACTTAAGGGCGAAGGGCCCAACAATAAACTAAAAAGGTACAGGGTTTAAGGTTGAGGGTTCTCAAATCCCAAGGACCCAATAGTTCGGCACGCGCAATTTAAAACGGCTAATAATGTACCCTAGTGTCAGTGATGGTGGTGATGGGAGGGGGCTGACAATACTCCTTCAGGACCACATGACCTGCTGAAAGTAGGGACCTTATACCCTAATACTCTGAATCCCTATACATGAACCCTTCTACTTGGAGGATCATGGGACTTAGTAAGTCAGGTTATAAGTACCTTAAGTGGGGTTATAAGTATAGTTACCCTAATTATAACCCCAGTTACTAAGTCCCATGATCCTTTAAGTAGGGCTTAAGGCTCCCAATGGCTATGGTTAGGTACTTGGTTCATTCGGGTATCGCCGAAGCCCGACCATTGGGGGGTTGAACCAGTCACCCACCAGAGCAATGCACTGTTTGGGGCTTTAGGGTTTTAGGGTTCAGGATATACGCAGTTCGAGAAAAATACGGTCCCTTTTGGGTGTCACATATTTGAAATTAGAGTGCCATAATATTTTGGGGACATAAAATTGGGCCCTAATTTCGACAACTACCCAATACCGTATCAGAGCAGCAATGTGTAGACTTTTGGCGAAGACAATGTACTGGGCTCAACCACAATCACAAAAAATGACCACAATGGCTGCAGATTCGAACGATTGGTGAGAGATACTCTTGAAGATTGAGATTCGATTGTCAATGGCAGGTTACCAGTTTCAAGAAGTGTAGTCCCTACATAAACCTTAAGCTCCAGAGACCAGACTCTAAACCCGAAAACACATAACTCCCAAACCCGAATAAGCGTCATTCTGACCGCCATAGAGCTCCTCGAACGTCGATGCAAGCTTGGCCTCCTGCCTCTTCACCTGGTTCTACCGGGAATGCCCATGAAACCTTCATGATTAGACCCTAAACCCCAAACCGTCAGATGCTGATATCTGGGGGCCCTAGGGATAATTTAAGTGTGTGGTAGTTATTCAACCTCCCCGAGGCTTCAGCTCTGCTTCCCAGCTTCGGGTCCTAGGGTTTAGGATTCGGGCTCAGGGCTTAGGGGGAAGCAGGCTGCCGGCTTTAGGGTTTACTTGGACTTAGCAAACAGGTTATAAGTTATAATTGGAGTAACTCCATGTAGGGTACTTACAACTCTACTTATAGCCTACTTACTACGTCCCCTGCCCCTCCAAGTAGAAGGATTTTATCATCTCGCTTAATTAAGGAACATACCTTAAATTATAGGGGCCTTCATATTATGGTTTAAGGCAAGCATATACTCCTTGATTAATGGGTACTGGGATCTCTGGGTACCCTAAACCCTAAACCCTATAGATCCCTTTTAAGTCCCTCAAAGGGACCCTTAAGGATCCGTTTAAAGGAGTCTCCGGGATTTCCCCAATTAAAAGGTACTAACATCTCTGGGAAGGCATTGGCTACGGCTACCGGGCCGCTGTCCCCATGCAGCAGACCCAGAGATCCCAATACCCTTTAATTAAGGAATATACCTCAAACCATAATATTAAGGCCCCTACAATTTAAGGTATATTCCTTAATTGAGGGATATTGAGATCTCTGAGGAGGACGAAGCGCGAAATACTTGACCAACAACTCAGAAGGTGGCTCCACCACGACTTGAAATCGATCACTCCCCCTTTGATGTACTAGAATTATTCAATGCCTCTCACGATTTGAACTTCCATACATGAGTGCATGAGTGCCCCTTAACTTTCGGAATCTCACGTGTCGAAGCTTTTTGGTGTCAGCTCCTGCATTGAATGACCGCCAAGTCACGACAAGACACTACAAAAACCACCCCCTGGGTGAGTTGTTTTTGCACGGACTGTGTAAGGCTTGCGGCTACGACCTTCCACGAAAAGTTAGAAGACTGCTTACCATGCAGGTCAGGAATTTGCTTCGGAGTTATTCCGGCATACTCAATGGTGGAATTTGTCTTTCCATTAAGGACTCCTGTAGTGGCTCTCTGGTTTGGCATTCCAGCTTGTCGTTCCCGAGTCTTACATCCGGCGCTAGCCCCAGCTGTAAGTCCAGCATCTATAGGGTTGTGAAAGTATAGCTGGTCTGCACTGCTACCAGCAATTCAAAGGTGTTGTGACATTTTCATCATCATAATAGCCATTACAAAGTTATCAGAATGCCGAACATGGCATTTCCAGTAGCATGCCTAGGAAGCCAAAATGGTTATGGCATGGGCCTATACTATACGCCCCTTAGAACCATAATAAAAACAATATGTTCAATGCTCTCTTGGGTTTTATATGAACAAAAATACAACGTAATTCCTAAGGAGACCAGAGTATACTTTGCATGCTTGAACCCTCGGTCAGAAGTCCTTACAAGCAGAGCTACAACCTCCCGCAGCTCTTGCAGCTCGTCAATGGTCTTCTTGTTTCCGGCAATTTCCTGAGTCTAGGAGGTGCTTGTAAAGCCTTTTGAAAAATATTAGTAGGTAAGATCCTCTTACCGATAAGCTCCATAGTAGTTCCTTTTTGGGATTGCCTTATAGGATTCTACATATGACCCCCAAGAAGGAACTAACTACTATGGAGCCTCCAGGTAAGCCCAAAAAGAGCAAATATAGAATGTCCCAAAGCCCTACCTACTTAAAGGATCATGGGACTTAGTAACTGGGGTTATAATTAGGGTAACTATACTTGTAACCCGACTTAAAGTACTTATAACCTTAATTACTAAGTCCCATGATCCTCCAAGTAGGAGTCTGTTTGGAGGGTTTAGGGCCTCAAGACTATTCCTTGAAGTTCGCTCATGTGAGGGTAGTGCCAAAAGCCTTATTTCGGAGCCTTCATAATTTCAATCGCGCTTTAGGATATCGGTCCTTGTTTTGGGACCCGAAACCCTGCTCCATGTCTTCGGATCCCCTTGAACCACACCGCCACGCCAGAGAGCCCTCCGAAGAGCCGCAGAGCTCCCAAAGGAGCAGGGACTGAGCAGACGGAAAAAAAGCAAGGTAGCTGGAGTAATAGCGACCTATAATCCCAACTCGCACACCCACTAAGCAGCACCAAGTCCCTAAGCACAGAAAACACCAAAGCCCCATCTCTGAGGCCTTTTCCAGGGCTTCGGCCTGACCCAGAAGAGCAGAGGAACGCAAAGGCCGCTGAGCACCGCCTTTCCACATGTCCACAAAATCTGCAGCTTCGCGACAGGGGGGGGGGACTTCCAAGTTCGGTCCTAAGCAGAAACTTTAAAAGGGCAAAAAGAAGCAACAGATGCCCTCCAATACCCCATGTAGTAACAGGCCCCTACATATCCCCTGAAAAAGGAAACTTCCCCCCGAGCTTCCGAGTAGAGGTACCGGCGGCCGGAGCACTAGAAGTGGTTTAAACTTAAGCAGCCTTCATAAAGTAGTATAGGATCTCGGGTCGGGAGGGGGTACATTCTACCATGACTATATCAAGGAATCCTGAGGAATAGTGATACTATAGTGGTCCTAACGTTGATTATAGGCCCACTATTCGGGTCAAGTACCTTGAGCCGAGCCGTGGTTTACGGCCGACTGCTCAACGGTCCAGAAATCTTAGCCGCCAGGTCCCGCAAATCCCTTACACATATTTTTATATTTAACATATAATATATATATATATATGTGTGTGTGTGTATTGTTATTATGTCTTGCAGTATAGTACAGCATGGTATAGTGTAGTATAGTAGAGTATAGTATAGAACATAATCTAGAATCGAATAGTACAGTACAGTAGAGTATATTGGTGGATAGTACATTACACTCTGTGAATATGATAGTCAGCATCTGCGCCTGGGCAAGGTAGACCTCTCAGTGCCTCTCGGTTGAACTCTGAACACATACCCTTGCTCCAAACAACATAAGAGCTAACATGAAACCGGATGTCGCAGCTTGGCTTAGTCTGCACTGCACGCCGGTCAACAGGCCCCTTGGCTACTGCTACTGTACTAAATATACGTTGTGCACGGTTCTTCAGGGATCGTTAGTCGATGGGTGCACATTAAACCCTGTTGTCCAGGGCCTTCCCCGAAGTCTTGAGAAGCTCTCCACATCCCCTTTGCCCCTCCCAATAAGGGGCCAGTTACGCAAGCCCTAACAACAAGATCTTGGTCATAAGGAACCCTAAACGCCCTAAACAAGATACGCCAGCAACTTCAAGAAAGCCCTTATGCAAGCTCAAAACCCTCGATAACCTTTCTGGCCTGAAGGATGAGAAAGCAGACGGCATTTGTTATCAACCACCTCCGGCGTTTGCAGGGTTTTAGGGTCTGGGGGGCTGGGTATATACGAGCTTTAGCCCGAGCCACTCCCCTGTTTTGACAATAAGAGTTAGGGTTAAGGGGTTTAGGGTTTAGGGTTAAGGGGTTTAGGGTTTAGGGTTAAGGGGTTTAGGGTATAGGGTTAAGGCCTATCATGGTTTTGCATGTCACTGTAGCTTTATGAGAGCTTGCCACTGAGTGATTTGGGATGTGAAGGTTTCAGCTGCACGAGGACCTTTATCACAAGCACCCCCATCAAAGCACGCACGGTATACTCAACTGAACCCTCAAATTAACCCTACTTCAGCTGTTCGGACTTCCCCGAGACCCCGTGCACTGAGGCGCCTTCATCACAGGGATGCCGGTCATCCTCAGATGCGAGGGGCTGCACGGATTCTACGATACATTCTAAGGGTTGGGTCAAAGTCTTGCAGGAAAAACCCTTTCCTTTCAGGGCCTTGGTGGTAGGATGTCCGTTCTGACCCTCGTTGTAAGTTATAAGAGACGCGGATCATTGATGGGTCTGCGTTCAACCTGAACCATAACACCCTGAGCCCTCGAGCCGCAACAACACAAAAACCGCACCCATCCCCGAGCTCGACAAGCGCTGAAATCGAAGGCCCAAGCATTGCAGATCCGAAGATAATGGCAGAACGTATGGTGTGTACAGTGCATGTCGGGCCACGCCAAGCTCATGAAGTTGTTGACGGCAAAATGGGCTCCCACCGCCTCTTCTCGATCCTGACTCCGACTCTTTCAAGGCTCATGTCTCAAAGTCGCAGCACATCTCTGCAGCCGTCCCGCGGCAGGACTAACAACCTCCCACCGGCCGACAGGGTGTAGTCCCCTAAACCCGCCCTCCTCTCCGGTCTCTCTACAGCCGCTGCGGGGCCTCTGCGGCGGTGACGTCGTTGATGAGCGCCAGCATCACATTGCCTCAGGGGACTCGGGAACAGGCCTCTGAAGGGGGCAGAGCTCCTCAGGGCGGTGCCTGGCGCGTGGTTTGGGTTGCGACTATAGTCTAAGGCAGCGCAAGGGATTCGACTGCAGAGGCATTGATTCCCAGCCAAGGGATTTTGGTTTTTGCATGTATTCAGGGCTTCGCAAGCAGTCTCAAGAAAGCTGCAACTCAGCCGGCCACTTGTAAGGCCGTAGGACCCAACCACCTTCACCACGGTGCTGATCAGAAGGCCCTGAGAGGGAGAAGTCTCAGGCGGGCCCGAGGAGTTCAGGAGCACTTTGTGAGAAGTGTGTATGGACCCAAGCCCCGAGGTACTGCCCAGTTGATGTCTGACATGAGCCGAACCGCTCGGGAACCGAAAATCACGAGATGCTTAGTCCTCCCCTTGCCTCTCGTGCAGTCAGGATTGCAAAACATAACCTATACGCAGACCTCATTTCAAGGGCCCATATTCGACGACCCGGAACTGGCAAGAACTCCGCACCAAGGGCCACACCCGGGGATTGCTGCCAAAGACCATTAACGCCCTGGGCATGGAGCTGAGGGGCAGCGAGAGTCTGAGGTCTAGATTGGTGAAATGCTCATCCTAGCAATGTGGCATTAACATAGCGCCCTGTGTACTTAGAACACGGTCTTTTCTAGACATGCTCCACTACAATTATGTTCGGACAGGAAGGAATAAAGACTACTAATCCTTCGGATCCTTACATGAACAAAGATGTCCTCTCTTGCGGTCCGGTTGCTCAAACGCCCAGAAGAGGGCGTGAGAGGCTGCTGGAATCGACAGTAGCATAAGCATTCCGCGGAATATTCCTTGATGTATATTGAGTCTTTGCATGGATAGAGTTCGGACAAAGCATATCAAGCGCTCATAAAACCGTCAAACTGACATGAAAACTTCAAGAACCAACCAAAGGTTCAGGACCAACCTAGTCTGGCAAGGACAAGAACCCAGATACCTGTGCGAATCCGCTCGCGGAGTATGACCAAACCTACTTTGGGGTTGGAAACTCAAGCCCGAGAGCCCAGAACAACAGCCTGAAATCCATTCAAACCCCAAAACGCTCCTTGTTAGAGCCGCTTCAAAAGAGCCCTTCAGCAACCCTTCAACAACCCGCCCCAAGCCCCCTTGGGCTTGCAGCCGGGCGCGAAGGTGCCAAGAGGGCGAAGATCGCCACGGTAAGTCACCTTCGGAAAAAGGGTTTTGGCTTACACTACAAAACGGGTTTAATGTAGGGACCTTAGTAAGAACAACAAGGTTTCTGCAAGGGGGTAAAGCAAGGGGGCCTGACTGGCAGAACCACCCGCTCAAAGTGCCACGGGGCTTACTCGGAAGGTCTCAAGTAGGGTTCTGACTAAAGCAGAGATCCCATCGGGGGTCTGCTTCACCTCTACGCAAATAGATACCCTTTGTGCATATGCAGAACTATATAATGCTCAACCCTACACCCAAGCCGTACCGTTCTACAACCATCGTAAAGCTCCTAAGCACCCAGTATCGCACTCTTGCAAACCCCTTCGTAAACCCGACACCCTAGACACCTGCAGCTCTTAAGAAACACTCACCAAGTCCTGAAGCCCTGAGAACACAGCTTGCACAAGCAAACACAACAGCACAAGTGCAGTAAGCACTCCATAAAGAGCCCATAAAGAAACAACAGCTGGGAGTGCAGAACGAAACACAAATCCACCAGCACGCGGCCGCCGGCAGACAGTCGAATGTGCGAAGCGCGTGGTCCACTGCATGTATTGGCCGGGATGCTGCAAGGTAAAAGCAAGAAGTTCTGGTCTCCATAGACATTCGTTGAAGGCTTTTCGTCAGTTATACAGATGTACAAAAGAAGGCTGTGCTATGTTGTCATACCTTGTGTATACGACACGATAATAAATATCAAGAACTGCATTCATTAGATTGTGTTATATTGGTAATTTTCCTGATAAAGTAGTATGCTCTACTAAATTATGTCATACTTGATCTACAACGTGAGTGTGAATATATGCTTGCATAGCGAGAGACAGGTCCTGTGAGAGCTTTACGCAGAGTTCTTTCCAGACTTCATCATGTTTTTCAGGGTGACTATTGGTAACTTGAAGACTTACCAAAAGAGCTGTATAACAGAGTGGTCACAAGCCTGTCGTAAACTTTATTTCCGTGTCTTTTGACATTCGGAGAAGGGTTGCATAAATTTTGGCGGAAAAGGTTTACTCCTGGCTGTACCTACTACCCTGAGCAGTGCTATGTAAACTGGAGCGCTGGTGTTATCCTTGCTGTTGGAAACCCAGGCGGTTCTCAATGTTACAATTCTTCTTGCGACTGTCTGTTGTCAACCCATCCTCCTACTGCTACTGTAGTCGCTGCGACGCTGAGTACTGCTATTGCGGGCAACCCTAAACGGTCGACCGAAAAACCCTAAGCCCTATTTCCCTGAGCTCCACACCGCAACCCTTAACCCTGAACAGCACGCAGGAACGCCAGCAAACCTCCAACTTCGGGTAACTTAGTACACTCATTCTGCATATAACAAAGCATATGTTTTTCAGGCTTCGACATTTACGGTGTTGACTTTGAAGCATGCCAAGATACACGACGAGACACGAGAGCAGCAACAGCAATGCAGCAAGGCGTGACTAGCATGAGGTATACGGATATAGAAATAGTGATAGTATAAATGCCGACTTCCGATCCTCACAGACTGCCTAAACTGTCAACCCTCCATGTTTAACCCCGCAGAAACCGGCCACAAATTTATGATAAACGGAAGTATGCTCTATACAAGCCCTACAAAACCGTATGAACCCCTGCTCAATCCCGTTTTTGGCACCAAGAGCTTTGCACCATAGTCAGGGTCTGCACGCAGAGCTTTGCTCGGTTGCAGATTCTAGCAAGCTCCCTGGAGTTTGGGGAATCCTGAGGCATGGCATTGCGTCCCCGAACTTCTATGTCAGAATAGCTCCGTGCTTGGGATTTAGGGTTGATGGTTCAGTAGAAGCCCAAGAACCCGGTATCGCTTCACTTGGAATTGCTTGGAAACTCATGGGACGTAGTAGGTAAGGTTATAAGTACCTTAAGTGGGGTTACAAGTATAGTTACCCTAAAAAACCCTAAACCCTAAACCGTACTAAGTCCCATGATCCTTGACGTGAATGTAGCTCAAACTTGTAGCGGGCTGTCGGGCTTAGGCGCGGAAGCAAAACGAGATCTTCCCCATAGCCCAGAGATCCCAAATAAGCCTTAATTAAGGAATATACCTCAAACCATAATATTAAGGCTCCTACAATTTAGGGGCTATTCCTTAATTAAGGGTGAGACCTTGGTAGGGTTTCCTGGTGTTCGGCTTCGTAAGGGCTGGCTTAGAGCGGCTTAGATCTTTCCACGTACCTCGATCAGGGAAGACTACATCAATCCTTTTCAGGACCCCAATACAATTTAAGGGACTGTCCTGGCTTTTGATAGACCAACAAGGGGAATCACAACTTGTCCAAACTGGGACCCAGATTTCCAGGGAGAGAGCTCGCGCTTTAGGATCTCATGGCCTACCTCTGACCGCACCGAGCATCGATAAAGCAACCCTGAAACGGACACCCTTGGTGCACATGAGGATCAAAGGACGTAGCAGGTATCATTCATCACTTCGGAATCCATGCTCCGAGAGATTCCGAGTAGTTTAGGCGTAGGTTCTAACATGGCCAGTACGGCTCAAGATGTTTCTTAGCAAACCCGGCTCAGTCTTTGATGCAACGACCTCATCTGTCCGTGTAGCTTCAGTCAGACAGTGAAGGGTTTAGGATTTCGTGTCAAGACTAGTGACTAGTGAACGGGGTTCCAGTCCAACCGAACCTCGCAATCCAAGACCAAGCAATCAAAGGCTTGGGAGGCCCGTCTGAACCATAGCTGTCCGGAAAATTCAGCTTCGGGTTGAGGGCTTAGTGTTTAGGGCACAACAAAGCACATAAACAACAACAGTAGGGCTGGAATATCCTGTAGCCCTCTCCTTCAGGAAGCCACTACATCGGGGTATCCCATCCAAAAAATATGTTTGGGTGCTTCTTGGTTCTTGCACTTCCTGCCACCTGCTAGAGCCCAGTGGGCTTCCTTCTCACGCCTGGCGAGAAGCACACATCCGATACCTCGGGGTCAAGGGGTGAGCTTCAGCGCAGCACCGCCAGACTCCCTGAGTAGTCCTTTAAGCCCTGTGAAAAGTATTTACTATTATGGTCTCCAACAAAATAGTAGGGAACACTAAAAAGGATCCCAAAGGACAACCCAGTTCCCTTCTCTCAGGGGCTTGCGGATGCGCACGGCTCGAGTAAATTTCACCCCGAGACTCCCTGGCCCTTGTTTTGTCAAGGAATGAACCGGAAATTGCAATGGGATCCTTATAAAGGGGTTTATAAGGGTTCGTATAAGGGGTCTATATTTTAGGGGCCTTAATGATCCTATAACTTACCTTTGGTTAGTAGGGAATGGAAGAATGGTAGCAATTGTAACTATACTTGTACCCCATTCCTCCATTCCCTACTAACCAAAGGTAAGTAGAACCCAAAATCCTTGAACCTCTGATATAAATATAAATATAAGTATAAGTATAAATAAATACATATATATATATATATATATATATGCATATATATATATACAGATCTTTAGACACATACTATCATATCATATATTATGTATGTTACATAAGGTTTAGGGTATAAAGAAACGGACTTTGGAGTCTCGAGCCGGCTGCAGCCAGAGGAGCGGCAGAAGGCATTCAACGATGGGCGCTTCGAGAATGCTGTAAAAACCTTGCCTTTGGTTAGGAATAATATGTGTGTCTATATAAATATGTATGTATATATATATATATATATATATATATCAGAGGTTGAAGGATTTTGGGTTCTGCTTACCTTTGCTTAGTAGGAAGGAAGGAATGGGGTACAATTATAACTACTATGACTTCCATTCTTCCATTCCCTAGTAACCAAAGGTAAGAAACAGGGGCCTCCATACTCAGAATAGGGGTGTCCTTAAGGATTTCTAAGCAAGCTTCGGGTTTACAATGTATGTAGGGGCCTTGCTAACAGGGAATCGAGTTTGGGGTATATAAATGCATACTTGTACCGGGAATCCTAAGTAATAGTACTGAAATCCTGCATATGGGATTACAGTATAGAGTACAGGGCTTTCACATGGGCAATGCAGGATTTGTCCAGCTGCAGCATTGAACCCATGTCTTACAAACCTCGCGGTAATGTTCGGCGGATCCCTTTAGCTAGGATTTGGGTAGGGTTGAAGATTTGATTTGTTTATGGGCTTCTTTCTCCAAAAGCCTCTGTCTCTGTAGTCAACCTCACTGTCTTCTGCTTTTCGCTCTTGTCCAGGTCTCCCAGCGGGACCTTGTCTTCCCTTTTCGGGGTTTTGAGTTCCTTCTAAAACTACACAGTACCGCATGGGAGCGCGATTGATTCCGAGGTTACGGAGATCCTAGTTGCGGCTTGCGCTTCCCAAGGCGCCCTTGGTGTCTAAACCATGTTGGCAAGATCCTGGTTTTATTTTGGGGCTCCAGGACCCAGCCGGACAAGAAACCGAGCCTCTTAACCGAAGGTCGCCACTAAGATCGTAGAGTTTATGGCCCAAGGTCCACGGTCTTAGCTGCCCGAGAAAAAAATTGCCAGTCTGTCGTGATGTGACGGGCTACCAGATTTAGAGCAAGCGTACCTTGGTTTGCTCATGAAGTCTCGCTGGGCACTTCCAGCACAAACTTGGTCTTGCTGCATTTCATGCCGGAACCTTGCCCAGTAGGTCTTGGAGCCCACGAGCGATTTCTGCGCAGTGTCTGGGTTTAAGGCTTGAGAAAGAGGGCTTCCTTTCAGCCATATGCCTTCGCAATGTAGTCACAACGGTTGAAGCGCTGAACGCCGCATGCCAAAGGGTCGAAAGTATTTGTAACTAACTGGTACGCTTCTAAGGTACGAATTTTCGACTTTGACTCGCTCCATGTTAGGTTTATGAATTCGCAGTCGGTGTACTTCTATAGAGGTTTAGGGTTTTTTGGCCCTCCGCATCTGCACTATAGGTCGAAAGATTGAAATCCTTTGGGCCAGCGTGTGGGGTTAAAACCTAAGCATACTTGGAGGATCAGGGGACTTAGTAAGTAAGGTTAAAAGTAGAGTTATAAGTACCCTAAATGGAGTTACCACAATTATAACCCTACTTATCACCTACTAAGTCCCGTGCCCCTCCAAATATCTTCTTTTCGTCCCTATGAGGGTCATGAACTTGGCCTGTTTAAGACTTCTCACCGGCACTTTGCGCTCTTGACTTTGACCCGGCGGCCATCCCTTTTCGGGGACGCCGGGGCAGTAAACTTTAAACTCTTGGCAACCCAACCTGCATCCTTACATGCTTACGTGAGACTCATCACTGTGGCAATCGATTCTGGTGAGGTCCACAGCAGGCACCGGAAATTCTGCTCCCTCCGCAGCTTCCTGCACGTTCAGTGGAGCTGAAAGGCATCTGGATTTCGGTTTTCGGTTTCCTAAGGTTCGTTATTCAAGTTGTATGTGAGAGTGGTGAGGCTCACCGCAAAGTGCCCCCAACTTCGAACGACTTCAGTCAATAATTAATCAAAGCAGTACCAATGGAAAACCCTCATCATCATTAGCATCATGGTCAATGAACCCCATCAGTCATCATCACTTTGCCCCGACAGCGAACCTTGCACTATGATCCAGCTCGGACCAGCCCCGATTCAGGTTACGTAGAATAAGTTTAAGGTGTTGGGTTTAAGATGCAATGTGAGCTACTTGGAGGGTCAGGGGTAGGTTTAGGGTGCGTTTAGTACGTTTGCCGCGACTCTGGGCTGTCACGACATCTTGTTGTGGAAGTTCTTCTGGTTATTTTCGGTGGGTGGGGGGGGGTGGGGGCGGTGGGGCACAGTGATAGACCTCATACTTTCGTGCCTCCAAGTGTCGTAACCTGCGACTCTCAGTCTCAACCCTGAACCTTCAATAGCAACGGTCGAAACACAACACCTGAAACTCTGAAGTTCGAAGCTTCTACTAGTACCTTGAAGACCAACCTTTAATCCACACCCTGGAGGCTTATCCTGAAGAGCGAAACCTATACGGTACTTAGACCGTCAATGCCTCCAGAAGTTCGAAAAAGGAACATATTTTTCCAGGTCAAGCTCCACCAATGCTTCAAGTTAGAGTTTACATGGCCACGAAACACCGTAAGGGTAGCTATGCGCGTCCTCGAGCTCTGAAGTTCCAAGACGCAACATAACTTCTTTTTATAAGAATGATTGCACAGACACATGCTTGACACGATTTCAGTTCTGAAACCAATATGCATGTTTGCACACTAAAAAACTGCTGTCTCCGCCAGTAGAAATGCAATGTAGCATGTGGATGCACTAACCAAGAATCTACCTCACAACCGCAAATACAGCGCACATGTCACCAGACTCAAAGGACAGGCGCGGCAAACGTACTAAACGCGCCCGTTTTTTGAGTGGGGTTACACATCTCCTAATTAAGGTTATAAGGGTAGTTACCCTAATCATATTATAACCCTGCTTGTAGCTACCCATCAACCTCCAAGTAGAGGGCTCCAGGAGTTTTTTTCCCTCATGAGGGGTTTTCGGGGTGTCTGGACTGAAGCATTGAGTCGCTAGTGTTTTCAGGGCTCCCATATGGGAGTTTCCGAAAATAGGTGACCCTAATGTCGTACCCTAAACAGTCGGATCCTTCTTATCAGGACCCCAAAATAAGGCCCCCTTAATTTTCGAAAACTACCGTATTCTGGTTTAGAATTGAAACAATTCCACCAAGATTTTGTACAGGGATCCTAGAAGGGTTCTGTGAGGGGCTAGGGCTTCCGAACTTTGACCCGTAAAGAGAAATCCCTAAACCTCAGAAGGGGTATCAATTGTTCCTCTTCAATATGTGAAGTTATAGACACCCTTATAAGCCACCTTGGCAGCCCGAACAATAAACCCGATTTTGGGCTTGGTGTTTAGGGATGTCTCTAGGTGTTTAGGGTCTAGAGATTGGCAAGTTCTGACAGTTAGGATGAAACCCCACAAAGGTGTTTGGGGTGTGGGAGTCTACAGGGGCAAGCTTTAGCACCGGTTTAGGTTGCAGGACAGGGTCTGCTTCAGATCTTTTAGCTTGTACGGTTTTGGCTCCCCAACCGAGCAAGCATGAGAGGATGCTACGAAACAGGTCCCACGGAATCCTTTAATATGGAAGCCTTCGTAATTCCAAGAAGGTCTTTGGTGTGTGTATGCGTGGTATAACATACTTCTAGTACAACCCCAACGAAGAACACGGAACATGTGTCTCTGGCATCTTTATGGCGAAGAGTCTCGATCGTCTTCAGCTTGGATGGATGCGTGTTCAGGGTTTAGGGCTCTGGGCTTGAGAGCAAAGTTGAAGGCTTTTGGGCTTTGGCTTTCGTTATCTCCGAAGAGTTTTCTTACCTTCAGCTAGTAGGGAATGGAGGAATGGGGGTAGAGATATAACTACCTAAACCCTAAACCCTAAACCCTAAATCCTAAACCCCTAAACCCTAAACCCCTAAACCCTATAACCCTAAACCCAAAATACTACCATTCTTTCATCGTCTACTAGCCAAAAGGAAGTTTCTTCCGGGCCTCGTAGTTCTTGGAGCCCCGTTCACCTCGGCCGAAGAAGCTACGAGTACCCGGATCGGGACGACGAGGGTCCGAAGCTGGCCCACCTTATTTTGGGGTGCTTATAATAAGGATCCTACTATTTCGGGTACTACATAAACTCCTAAGGTTTAGAACTGGCCCCCATCATGGCTGATACGGTAAAGGTTTAGGGCGCTTTTTCTCGATATTCGCGTGAAGATTCTCAAGGTTCGTCTCTACATACGCGAAGTCTCTGCTGCAGGGTAAGTTTAGGGCCTCGGTCCAAAGGTAAGATGATGATGAGAGTCACAGTCAAGCCTGGTTGGTACAACACCATTGCAACCTTCCGGCCTTGCCCACAAGAATATGAACCAGAGTTTGGGGTGTTCAACGTTGCCTCCTTCAATATTCGATTGGGAAGCAACGCCACGTCCAAGCTTTTTAAATTACATTCCGAGCACCATCGATGATGCTAAGATGGCGCTGTTCTCCAGAGAAAAACAAGTAAGCAAAAAAGGGCTACGCAATTATCTCATATTACAATATAAAGATTGTACTTTAGTCTGTTGTATTAGATTTTGCTGTGTATATGGTTCTGTCTTGTTATATAGTGCTACCGTGTATTATATCGTAATATATTATCGTATAGATTGCATTGTCTTATACTATCTTACAGTGTGTTTTCTTGTATTATGTTACCCGATGACATGCTAATTACATTATTGAATATTATACGGTGTTCTGCTATATCATAATACATCTTACACATTATACGACATTACACAATACTATGCTGTATTGCATTGTATGATATTGTTTTACACTACGTTACATTGTAGCAGACTATACCGTTTATGCTACATAAGGTTACATTACATTACATCGTGTTACAGTTTGTTGCATCACGCAACATTCTCTTATGGTCTAGTATATCATCTTATATTTCAGTACACTATATTACGTTGTGATACATTCTAACATAGTACGTTAGAGTACGCTTTTCTTTGGTGCTCCTTGCTCTGCATAGATACCGGTCAGTATTGGGACTCAGCAAGTTAGGCATTGCTCAGCTGTCACACAAGGCAAAGCGGAGAGCACTAAGAGCCCTTGAGGCTTCTGCGCCCCTTAAGCTAAGGCTGTAGCTTGCCAGGGTAACATTGCATTACATTAGATTGCATGGTATTGTATCATATTACCTTATGTTGCACTAGAACACTTTACATTGACGCATGGTATATGAAAACAGATCGCAGTATATCATCGTAAAATTCATTTTATTTTATTGTTTGTTGTAATACTACACTGAATTTTATCATTCAACATTGTATTTCAAAATATAACAGTGTAAAAATATATTGCAATATTTTACATTACATTATATAGTATTATGTTATTCTACATTGCATTACTTTATGCTTTCTTCTTATATCATCTTACACTTCACTACTATATTGTCCGATATTTTACTATACTAGAGCGTTTTTATGTTATATTGGACTGGCATGGTCGTTGCTCTTCTTGTTGAATCTATTTGTTACTATTGTGTGAAGGCTTTCACAAAATATGGGACTTTAAGATAAGCCTGAACCATAGGGTCCTTATCATGAAGCCTCTTGAGATAGGGTGTGCCTCCAATTGTCGGACACGCCCTAATGGAAAGGCCCAGGCTTTCTTGAGCAAGTTGATTCCCCTAAAACCCCAGACCTTCCAAAATCCCCTAGTTAGGGAATGTACCTTAAATTATAGTTGGATCCCTAATACAGCTTATGGTATATTCCTGAATTAAGGGATTTTGGAAGGTTTGGGCCCTAAGCCGTGGCATGGTACGAAGACAAGCCCGAACCCGCAACCCCATTGTGCCCTAAAGCCTGAACCCTAACAGTCCCGAAGTGCCTCACCAACTTGCAGGCGAATAGTCTGAAGCTAAAAACACACACACACACGAGAAACAAGTGCAGGCGAAGAGTCTGAAGAGTTTTGACAGCGATTTGGGACTTGTGAGCTCGAAGCTTGAAGCCGTTGTGAGCTTCCCGAGTGTTGAAACCTGAAGCGAAGGGGCTTTAGGGTTTATGAGTTTAGGGTTTAGGCTGTGGGGTCTAGGGTCTAGGAGCTTTAGAGTTGAAAAGTTTGGTTTACTTTGTACCACTTGCACTCGACAGCCCGAGGCAAAAGAGTGGACTCAACAGCATCAGAAGGCTTTAGGGGCTTGAGGGTTTTAGGGGGAGTTTTAGGGTTTAGGGATTTTGGTCATAGAGCCCTGATGGAAGGAGGGTTCCTGGGTTCCACAGCGGAGCTCTTTTTACGGGTTCTGCATTCGGGATCCTTTATATAGGGCCCCCAAAAAGCACATAAGCAAAAATCAGGATAGGGATATCCCGTATCAGCTCCCTGAAAATGAAGCCCGATAAGGTAGGGATATCCCCATGAAATGCTAATGCTTATGTGCTTTTGGGATCCCTAACTATAAGGGTCTTCTAATGGGTTTCGCTGGCTGTTAGGGATGTTCGGGATCTTTGGCGGTTTAGGGCTTATTTCCAGGACAGGAGGCCCTAAGTAAGCAGGTTCTATCTGTCCAAAGGTTGTTTTAAACAGTCTATAGGTTCTTTTTTTAAAGAAAACTGCATAGGTTTTTTTAAAAAACCAATTCAAGACAGCTGGATTTATAACTTATAACCCTAATGGTGAGCTACTTACTAAGGAGTCTGACCCTTCAAGTAATTTCGGTGCCTAAATGATTAGACTAATGCTAGAGACTCTAAGGAACAGCGATACTAAGTTATGAAGTCCTTATGGTACCAACTCTCACAACGAGTAAATTTCGGGCTTGGGAATGGGAATTTCAAGTTTTACGTCTAGGCTGGCGAACTGATTAAACACCCCAGCATAAGGAAAATAACCACTTTAGGGCCTTATACGGCCCAGCTAACGCGGACCAAGTCTTTGTGGCCTCCGCCCCCGGGAACAACCTGCCAATCAAGATCACGCTGAAAGTTGAGCGGAGCCCCAGTGTCCTATATGGGCCACGTCATTTCAGCAGCCTGGGGGTCAAAGGCAAGGCTTGCAAGGCTCCCGCAGTGCACAGGACGTGTTAGACTTCTAGGACTCGTGCTGTGGAGACAGCCGGAGGAACTCCTCGAAACCGAGACGGGTGCCGTCTGTTCCATGCCCCTCTGCACGCCCAAGCAGCAAAACAGCTAGAACCAAAATCCCAAACCGCAGAGCCTTACATCTAAATCGTGGGCCAAGCAGCCACGTTGGTTGCACCTGCATTTCCGACAGTTGTCATCGTCTTCGCGAAGTTCATGAGCATGTCCTCCAAGGAGTGGCTTTTGCCACTCGGGCGGGGGTTTAGGGTTTGGGATGTACTTACCGCTGGTTAGTTGGGAATGGAAGAATGGTAGTAATAGTAAGTATAATTGTACCCATTCCTCCATTCCCTACAAACCAAAGGTGAGTAAAACCCAAAATCCTTGAACCTCTTTCAGGGCTGCAGCCCCTTTGCCTCGTGTGGGCTTCCGACTGTGTCACGATGCACCCGCTGGTACGAATCCGTCACGATGGCGATGAAGAGATTTACGAGCACCTGGTTCAGGGGTTTCGGCTCAGGGCTTTTTTTCTTCCGACGGAGAAAACAAGAGAGATAGCGGGAGGCAGGGAGAGAGAACAGCGAGAGAGGGAGAGAGACAGGGGGGGAGAGAGAGAGAGAGAGAGAGAGAGAGAGAAGGGCGGACGCAGACAAAGGCAGAGAGAAAGGAGGGAGAAGCAGGAACAGGGTGGAAGAAATGCAGAGAGAGAGAGAGAGAGAGAGAGAGAACATGCAGAGAGAGAGAGAGAGCGCGAGAGAGAGAGAGGGAGAGAGAAAAAAGAGAAAGCAACAACTGTGGGCTGATTCTGCCCCCGTAACACAAAGGAAGAAACACGTTTAAAGCTGAGGTTCTGGGTGACCCTTTGCCGCACAGAACACACGAAGACATTCGAAGTCGTGCAAGCAAGGATATCAATATGAATATAAACATATGTAACATATAATATATATGTGTGTATGTATGTATGTATGTATATATGTATGTACGGGTACATATATGTGTATATATATATATATATATCAATTTTTATATGTATATGTACATATCATTCCATGGATTTCAATCCTTCCTGAGATACCCTTTCTTGAGGTCTGAAGGGATATTCGAGCCCCGGGTGGCTCCGGATACATTCTCCACGAGGATACAGCACGTGCGCGACCCGATTGGTAAACACTTCCGGAGGCTATGATCCCTGAATCCTCGAATCAAGTTTTGTGCCTCCAGGCTGTGAGGTCCGACCCCAAATCCAAAGCTAGATAAGCCAATGTGTGAAAACTGATATGGTTGGCAGACGCTATGACGCCGTTGCAACCTTTTTATAGTAGGGGTGGATCCAATGGAAGGGAAGCGCTGAGGTTGAAACTTCATGGTTCATGGCTTGGTGTTTGCGGTTGCGGTTTAATCAGTGTAGGGTTGTTTTCAATGCAGAAACAAGTCAGAATAATTCCATGTCCGATGGATGATATTGCTTCACACCCAGCCCGAACGCCCCGACATATCTTCGCACCTTCCCTTCCAAGCAACGCACGAGCTTTCGCATTGAGCAAAGAAGTTCGGCAAAAGGTAGTGCGAAATCAGGGAGATACTGTCTGCATGAGCAGACCATAACATGATTCCGTCGGGTTCAGAAGCTGAAATGTACAAGAATAGACATGACAAGCCTGGTCGAATCACTAAGGCTCCTACATTATCCACACCAGCCAGTGGATCTGCATAGCTTTCGCTGCTCATGACCCTCCCATAAGCCCTCAACTGCAGCCCGGAGAGCCTCTTGAGTGGGCGAATCATTTAACATACTGGGAGGATCGTGCAACTTAGTAAGTAAGATCTCCTTACGCAAAGGCATCTATAAGGGGTTTATAGGGTTTGTACAAGGGTTGTACAAAGGGAGGATCATGCAAACGGCTTCTGTTTCGAATGAAGCAGAAACTTATTTGTGCTGCTAAGCTAGTTGCAGCACGTGGGCTCAAGTGTCCGTCTACGACAACAAGAACAAAGCACTTTCCCTTAATCCTAGTGGACAGGTTCTTGTTCCAAGATGGACCCTCATTATTGTTTTTCGTATGTTGGGTACATTCAAGTAAAGTCCGTGTTAGTGAGTCTTTTTCCCTGATTGTGCTCATGATGCTGGGGCCTGTGCAATGGGGTGCCAACAAAGGCCACAACCGTACATCCCACAGGGGGCCCGCCAGAGAACCTTCAATCATGTGGCGCACACGCATGCGCGCGGGCTGTGGTGGTGCACGTTGGCCCTAGCAGTTGTTGCAGTGGCCGGCCGGCCTGTGCCGTAAGGCCTTCAAAAGACTTACCTTTGGTTAGTAGGGAATGGGGGAATGGGGTACAACTATAACTACCTTTACTACCATTCTTCCATTCCCTACGAACCGAAGGTAAGAAGAGCTTCAAGAGATTCCAGAACCGTCACAACTTGAAAATGCGGCCCCGAAGGCGCCCTGGTGGAACAAACCCTGGCTTTGTACGTTGAAGCCCCTGAACTTACGACCTACGGTTGATGATATAAATCCTGCATTACCCATAATAGGGAATATATGCGAATTATGGTATTTTCCTTATTATGGGTAATGCAGGATGTATAACATCAACCGTATCTCTTATGTGATACCTCTAAACGACCATGACGGGACAGAACAAAGCATCCCAAACTGCAAACAAGCAGTGTGAATTCACGGCATCCGAGTCACAAAGACCACCATGACTGTGAAGAGCATGAACCATGAGACGGAACTCACCTAGGGAGTTGAGGGCTTTAGGGTTTAGGGAGTAGGTGAAGTACCCACAGCATGCAGCATAGCCTAAAAGCCCCAAGCTCTAAGTAAGACAGCAACACTAGACCACAAGGGCAACAATCCAGGTATCCTTGCCAGAGGGTTGATCAGAAATGACCTCTTCTCAGTCGGCTTGCTCTGCAACACAAGTCCATGGCAAAGTGTTGAAGAAATCTCAGTAGGGACACCTTTACTTTTGTCCACAAACTCCAAATCTCTTGATGCAGCAATCTTCTTCAACCCTACTGTAAACCTTTATTTGCCACTGAACAGTACACTCTAATCATCAACGAAACACCATGAAAGGCAGAAATACAACAGATTCGGAGAAGTTTCAAAGGCCTGATGCTTCAGGGATGTGCAGCTTCCAACACTATAAGGGGCTTTGATATAGGGCCTGGAATAGGGTGCACCTCCTAGTGAGGACCGCCAAATAAGCCTAAAAACCTCGTGGGTGCGAAGGGGTTCAGGGCCCGTTCTGCCTCAACCCGACAAAGAGTGCCAAAAAACCGTGAAAAATCCTCCTGTGGGGTGACGGTCAAGGACTTAAGGGTTCTTTGCGCTGAGAAGTGAAATGCACAACTCAAGAACCTGCGAGTGCCAGGGGTGAGGCTAATAAACATCAGGCATTCTAGGGTCCCTATTACTTGCACGGGCAGCGGACTTAGTAAGTAGGTTATTTGTAGGGTTTTAGTTGGGGTAGCTCCATTTCGGGGTACTTATAACTCTACTTGTAACCTACTTACTAAGTTCCTTGCTTTGAGGGCCTCGCCTCTGTAGATCCTTTTTTGGGAGTTTCGGCAAGTAACGGTTTAGGGTTTAGGGTTTCGGGTTCTCATAAATCTACGCGGAGAGTCCGTGTTGCTATGACGCTTGAGACAGGCACCCTTGATAAGTGGAAGACGAATCCTAACAAGGTTCTCTACAGCCTTCATGCGGCTTGATATGGTGGCCTTCATACTTGGAATGGGAGTTCGGGAGTATCATGGCTTAGTAAAAGATCAGGAAACCCTCAGGATTAGTGATGGCAGTTACTGTAAGATTCTCTACGTTAAGCAAGAAAATGGTCCGAAGCTCTAGTGTCAAACCCCAACTTGTAGGATCAGGGGACTTAGTAAGTAAGGTTTTTTAGTGCCCTAGTTGGGGTTATAAGTAGACTACTTATATTTATAACCAAGTTATAAATATAGTTACCTTCGTTATAACCCTAGTTACTAACTAATTCCCATGATCCTCTAAGAAGTTGAAGCCAGGACGCAGGCGCAATGTCGTACATCCCCATGAAGTCGAAGTCTCCCATTAAGACCCTGCAGGGTTCAGGGTTTAGGTTTAGGGTTTACGGCTTAGGGTTTAGGGGTAGAAGTTTCTAGTTCCGGGGGCTGGTGCCGCGTTAACGCGCCAGGCTCTGAAGCTTGGCAACGTCACCCTAAACCCGAAACCCTAAAGCCTGAACCCTGAAACCCGAAACCATGAAACGCTAAACTTAGGTACTGCCCCCATACAGTAAGAGTCTATAATAGGGCTACTATTCAGGTCCTAACATATCTACATTCTGAATATTATTCAACAATTACTGAGTGGGGGCCGTACCCAACCCTCAACCCTGAAACTCGAAACCAAAAGCCTGGAGGCCCTGAATGTCATTTCGGGGTTTAGCCGCCCCTACCTTTTAGGGATCATGCGGTTGATGATATAAATCCTGCATTACCCACAATAAGGAAATATACCATAATTCCCATAGTTTAGGGTCCTTAAGGTAATGCAGGATTTATATCATCAACCGCACAGCCTGAATGGTCCCGCGCTTCGCATTCCGGGCCTACTTGCCCCAACAGCCTGCCTGTTCTCAAGGGAAATACAAAAAAGCGTAACAAGGAACCTAAGCAATTTTGCTTTGGGGGCATTAAGGTGCAGGGGGTTAGTTTACTTGCCTACAGTTTAGATGAGTCCACAACAACATATCCTCATTGCTTCACAGGTCAAAATGTAAGAAGTGTCTCGAAAGCAGCTTCTAGTCAGACTCCAGGGCTTGCTTCGGTTGATGATAAAAATCTGCATTACCCAGAATGGGGGGAATATATCATAATTCCCATATTGTAGGGTCATTAGGGTAATGCAGGATTTATAGCATCAACCGTTTCACTTTGGTTTGGAGTGTCCGCTCCTAGCTTTGAGACTGGCAGAAACGGGAGCTTCCACAATTGGGGGGGGGGGGGCCAATGTAGACCCCTAAATCATAGACCCCCCCTCCAAGAGGACCCCCAAAGGGAGACTCCCAAATTTTGGTGACGACAAATGGGAGTTTCCGAAAACAGGGGCCCTAACCCTAAACCCTAAGAATACTAATATACTATACTGACGAGTAGGATGCTTGTTATGAGGACACCACAAACAGATACCCCTCAGTTTCGGAAACTCCCAAATAACCCCTGAGCGTTTCGGCCGGGACCCGTAATTGAGGATACAGGTAACTCTAACTGTCGTTACCATATTCTTTATTTATGACCCTCGTTGCTAAGTCCCATGGCCTTCTAAGTAGTAACCCCCACGAACCCTCATCTCAAACCCTTTAGCCGCATCCTTCCTGTTACCCTAAAACCGAACACCCAAAAGCCCCCAGCACTGCTTCAAAACGATCACAACCCGCCTCAAGCATAGCCCGTCTCTACCAGGATCCTTGGGCTGATGACGCTGAACAAGAAACCCCTACTTCCAAGAAACCTCGGTAGTTACCCGAAACCCGAAACCACCCCTACTTGGAGGGGCAGGGGAATTAGCAAGTAGTTTATAAGTAGAGTTATAAGTACCCTGAATGGAGTGTCCCAATTATAACCCTACTTATAACCTATTAGAATAGGAAATTGGGGTCCATTATACTATAGTTATAGTAAGGAACCCCCAAAATAGTATAGGTAATTATGCAAATTAAGCCCCTAAAGTAACCCCAAACCACCCCGAAAACCCTTTCACAGGCCGCCTCATCGAGGAAGCGAACGGCAGGAATGTGGTTGACCAAGAGTAAAGGATGTGGCCGAAGAGGAAGTGGGCACCCATCGCGAAGTTGGCAAACCTGACTAGAACCCTGATTTGGTATCCGCGTTAATCGCTGCGCTACCACTGGTTCTACATTCCGGGCCCCTGGTTTTTCCAAATCTCCCTTTTGCGAGCTCGATGCTGGAAACCCGGATGTTTAAAGTTCTATAAGGGTTCCTTTAAGGGTTAAGGGTTCCCTTAAGTAGTATTTGGTGGTGTTTTTACTTCTGCGGGGATTGATTGCAACGCTCGCGCAGCACCTGCAAACAAACCTATGTAAACCCCAAACCCGACAGTGACTTCTTGAAGAAAGGCTATGGGAGTTTCCGAAAATGGGGACGCTAACATAGTACCTTACATAGCAGGATCCACATTATCAGTACCCCAAAATAAGGCAGTTTCTGGAAACTCCCATATGGCCATCAGGACTCGCACCGACAACACCCCATGAGTTGTCACGGCCCATGCGGGCAAAGAGGCGATGATTCGTGTTCAGTCGACTTAGTAAGGGCTCTTAAAGGGCTCCTTCAAGGGATCTATAGGGTTCCTTAAAAGGGATCTATGGGGTTTAGGGTTTAGGGTGCTACTTGGAGGATCAGGGGACTTAGTATGTAGGTTATAAGTAGAGTTATAAGTACCCTAAATGGAGTTACCCCAATTATAACCCTACTTATAACCTACTTACTAAGTCCCCTGCCCCTCCAAGTAGTGTCTGCATTTTCTGGCGGGGTCTAGGATTTAGGCGGTGTGGAGCCCCCTCTGACCGGCCAAATCGGCAAAACGCAAGACTAAACCCGAAACAGTTCAACCCTAAACCCTGCTCCGTAGGTTTGTCATCGCTGCTTGCTTCTACAATCTTCGACAATGTGTGCTTTCTGAGCTCTGCGCTCTTTTCTGGCATGCTTTATGAGTTACAAGGCTTTGGGGCTTTACGTAAATGGGTGTTGGCTCAACACTGAGAATCTACTCCGTCGTGAACAAGAATACAGGAGGCAATAAAAAGCCTGGGACATGGAATCCCAGCGGGTCCATGGCTTATCCATGCTTGTATGCTTAGAATCTTTATGGAAGCTTCCGAAAACAGGGGACTACAATATAGTACCCTAAATAGTAGGATCACTATTACAAGGACCCCAAAATAACGTACCTCAAATTTTCGGAAACTCCTGTATAGCACACTCATAGAACCCTTGGGGAACCAGTTCCTTCGTAACACTGTCTTTCACGAGGGCTGGCATTCATGACACTTTGCGCCTCACACTCTTCCACGCGGCCTTTGCTTCGTGCCAATACGGAGGTCACACCAAAGAACCCTACAATCTAATTGGGGAATTGGTGTTTAGGGTTTAGGATGTAACATGATGTAAACCGAGTCGAGGGGCACGACAAAGAAGACGATGAAGAAATAGAAGATACTGCCCACCTGGATAAGGGGTTCGAATACGGTTCAAGACCTGAGGAAGCTTAATGTAGGAACCTGATCCAACCACCCAGGTTCTCATTCGGGCTCTAAAGAAGGATCTACAATGTTTGTCGATGCAGACCCGTTGCCTTCGTAATTAGGTTCCTCGATTCTGATGGGTCACGGCATTGTGGAATCCTCAACAACTGCGAAAAAACAAGCATACAGTCACCAGGGAAAAGACTCCCCAGACATGAAGCCCAGGCCGCCACCACTATTCTCAAATAAAGTTTAGGGTTCACCACACCGCTCTAGGGGGCCTTTCATTGCTTCTGGCGGTTGTCGCCCAAGCAGTCATGGGGACTGCTAAGCTCCGTTGTCTTTGGCTCGCTTGCAACCAGAAGTGCTTGCTGGCATGCAACCTATCCAGCTATGGTAGCAACAACACTGTATTCTTGTGCATTCACTCTCGAGCATACCTCTTTTTGATTGCTGTGTTCTATCCAAGGCATGCATGAGTGTTCGCGCCTCTGCATGTGTATTCGGTCTTGTATCCGGCCATGTATCCGTTATGCGTACATATGTACAGATGCATGTCCAAACTTACATACCTACACATACACACATACATACATGCATACATATGTATTTGTCGAACCATCCATGTACACAAACACATACTAAAACACCCATGGCTGCACATACACATATGCATATGCATGTACATGACGATATACATATACAGTGTATATATGTATGTACATACACATATTTCAGTAAGTACACATGTGAGCGTGCGTGAGTGTGTGTGTGTGTGTATGTGCATCTTGGCTATGTGCATATGTATATACACATGTGAAGGTGTGTGTGGTGTGTGTTTGTGTTTATTGACCTGAAATAGTTCATGCGTCTCTACGTGCATGTGCATGTGGTGTTCAAGCACGACAACCCTGAAAGTGCCCACAAAGCCACCGCATCGGACAGAGTGTTCACGAAGATCATCAGCCGGGGTGAAACAGGAAGGCCTGACTTCACACGTCGTTGAGGGGTCGCTAACCCTAAACCCCAAACCCTAAACCCTATCGCGGCCGAGGTTGCAGGCTAGCAGGGTCAGGGTCGAGGGCTTACTTGGAGGATCATGGGGCTTGGAGGATCATGGGACTTAGTAAGTAAGGTTATAAGTGCCTGAATTGGGGTTATACGTATAGTTGCCCTAATTATAACGCTGGTTACTAAGTCCCATGATCCTTTAATTTAAGTAGGGTTGGGTCAATATTTTGGACTGAAGCGCTCTCCGTGCTCCTCAAGAAGAATCGACAACAGGGTTCAGGCGTTAGGGGGTTTGAGTCCGAGCAGAACCGGGTACCGAAAGCTCTTGCAGGGGGGGAGTTATCGGTTCAATGGGTTCGGCATTCCTAAACCCTAAACCCTGACCGTGCGCCCAGAGCCGAGAAGCCTTCGCCGAACTTGACAAGGAGGATGAGCATGTACCAAAAGCAAATCCACTGTGCCCCACGGTACCTGAAGTCTAGGATGTAGGGTGGACCTGAAGAATTAGGATTTTGGGTTTTAGTGTTGGGGACTTCGACTTCTCGATGCGATTTTGCTTCTTTTGGGATTAGGCTGCTGGTTTTGCTAAGACCTGAGAGTTGCTTTAGGGCATCAAGGTGTAGGGGTTTAGGGTTTAGTGTTAAGGGTTTAGGATTCAGGGCTTAGGGTGTGCCGTCCAGTAAAAGGGCACTAAGATTTATGCATCCTACCTCACAACCCGAAACGCAACACCCGTAAAATCCTGAAGGCTGCGCGGTTCTTGTTCGCTCCGATGGCATCCGCAGTATAGAACCACGGGATCCCCAGCAGAGAACCGAGGGATCCCAATACACACTTTTTGGCACCTCCACTCCGAAGATGACAGCCAGAGAGCGCGCAAAAACGCACGGACAGGAGCAAGCTAGTGCGGACAGCAGTCCAAGAAGGGGTAGGTACCACTTCACAGACCCGATAAAGGTTTTAGGGTTTAGGGTTTCGGGCTTCGTAATCTTTACGAAAGGTGCAGTGCAAGGGTCGCGACATGTGAACATTCAACTGCAGGAACGAGTTTGACATCAGCGGCTAGGCACGCATACTCTTAGGAGGCAAAACACTTAGACCGTGTATGGGGTTCATGCAGGTTTAAAGTTAATGGTTCTTATGATAATTAATGATCCGAGGGAGCCCACTGGAATGATGTCGCTAGTTACCGAGGCTTCTGTGATACACACACACACAGCTGGTCGCAGCATGAGTAAGCGGCGAGTGCTTGTATGTAACTCTGTCTGATTCAGCTCAATCCGCACCACTAAGCCCTAAACTTCATGTTCCCGAGGTTTAAACCTGAAAAGCCCCAGACCCGAAGATCTCAAATCCCAAGCCTTACACCCCAAGATACGGGCCTAAATAATTGGAAGAGGGATCGGGATATACCAGAATTAGTAGAATTATGGAAGGAATCCTATTCGGGCTTCTTGCACTCCTGAACTCTTATATAACCCTTAACGAACCTTAAAAAAGAGACACTTGAAGGAATCCCGGAGGATAATGTCAGGACCAGTTGCTGAAAAGCCCAGTTAACCCGAAGCCTGAAACCTCACTTGGAGGATCAGGGGATTTAGTCAGTAGGGTTATAAGTACCCTAATTGGGGTTATAAGGGTTCTATAAGTATAGTTACCAGATTTATAGCCCTAGTTCGTAAATCCCATGATCCTTTAAGCAAGCGAGGCTCCAGGTCGCGGTGTCTTGCACCAAGGCATGGACTTCCCCCATGATGCGAAACCGCGCCTCGCCCGTCAGGGAAAGAACGCAGGATCCCGAAGCTTACCTTGGGTTAGTAGGGAATGGAGTCTATAAGGGTTACTATAAGGGATCTATAAGGGTAGTAGAATATAGGAGCTTTAATAATCCTATGGCTTACCTTTGGTTAGGGAATGGAGGAATGGGGTAGAATTATAGCTACTATTACTACCATTCTTCCAGTCCCTACTCACCAAAGGTCAGGAAGTAGAGGTCCTTCATAGTACGGATCCCGAGACTCGAGTATCCACATTAAGGTCCCGGACAAGTCCGCGATGCGAAACCTTGAAAGGCGATACGGTACGGCGATGGAGCAAATCCTGCCTGACCTTAAGTACCACTAAGCAAGGGGAACCATGGGTTCTTGGCTCTGGGTGCTACAACTGCGATCTGTGTCCGTTTATCGTAGCACAGCTTGTCTTCCAACGAAACGCCTCTGGACGAGGTGTGGGGGTACAGTTGGAAGCTTAAGGCCTGACAGGTTAAGGACCCCACAGGCTGCGGCTGCGGAAATCTGGGCTTGGCTATGCTGCTCTGGCTTCCGGAGCTCTTTCTTGCAGTATAGAGTGTCCACATATCGACATATCTTGGTCTGCGGCGCAACCCCTACGAGCATCGCTGCATGGACATGTCAGCTGGCGTGTGCCGACAGAAGACTGCTTCTAGATGCACTATAGCCAGCAAACACCACATCTTATGAAACCCTGACAGACATTGCAAAAACACATATAGCATCCATCAAAAACAGAACTTACCACTCGACACAAGAAACCTCAAACCCAACACTCTGAACCCTGATTCTGCATTTCGCTTTCCACCGCGCAGCTACATCGTTAAGCTACATATCTTCAGACCGATGACGACTCGCCCATCTTTACAAGCACATTCCATCTTCAACTCTTTACCCTAAAGCCTACACCCTGAGGCCTAGACCCTACACCCGGAACCCCAAACCCTGAATCCGAAAGCCTGAAACCCTAAACCCTAAACCCTAAAATTCCTAGAACCTCAAACCTTCAAACCCTGAACCCTAAACCCTAAAAATCCTCGAACCCCAAAACCCCTTGATGCACCGCGCGCAAGGGCCTGCCACGGGCCGCTGCTGGCGCCAGGCGCCCGGGAGGCGAAGGTCTTTGGGCCGCAGTTGGGGGTTCAGGGCACATGGCTACTTAAAGGATCATGGGACTTAGTAACTAGGGTTATAAATAAGGCAGCTATACTTATAACTACTTATAACCCCAATTAAGGTACTTATAACCTTACTTACTAAGTCCCATGATCCTCCGAGTACTATGGGAGTTTCGGGTTTAAGGGTTTAGGAAGCCCGAAAAGGGGTCCTTGCCTAGGGTTGTGTGGAGTTTGGGGTTTAAGGGTTTAGGGTTCAGGGTTTAGGGTTTAGGGGTGTGTGGTTTAGGGTTCAGGGCACATGGGTGGTTGTGAGTATTAAGGTCCCTTGATTATTGTACGGCACCTAATATTTAGGGTACCCAAAAAGGGACCCTAGTTTTGATAACATGGCTACTATGCTTACCTTTGGTTAGAAGGGAATGGAGGAATGGAGTAAAATTATAACTATTTTTACTACCATTGTTCCATTCCCTAACCAAAGGTAGGTTCAGGGCAAATGGCTACTATGAGAGTTTGAGGTTTAAGGCTTGAGGGTTTTCCAGATAAAGCTCTATAGGCCTCTCAGAGGGGTTTTGGGCTTCACGGGAGGGGTGGTTGTACAGAGCAGGATAAACAGTTTTCTGGGTGGGTCGTAAAAACCGAAACGCGAGTCCAGCGTTTCGAGGGCCTTGAGCGTTACTAGGGGCTAAGGTTCGGATTGGAGGAGTGTAAGGTTTTCGGGTGTTGGGGGTTTGGGGTTTGGGATGGGCGGTTGGGGTTCCAGGTTCGGGTTTTTGCGGTGTTGTAGATTTTGTGGTGTCGGTGGTTTCAGGGATGGAAAGTTTGAGGTTTAGGTTTTTGTGGTTTGGGAGTTGGATAGAACTCATAGTCAATGTGACATGCAAGTCAGGCTGTCGAACGAAGATTCTGTAATTTGAAAGAGCTTTTGCTTGCACATAGAATCGCTACAAGGATGAGGGTTGCCCTTCGAAAGCGGCACACTCCTTAAGATCTAAGCGGACCCTACACTACGCCATGCTCCTCCCTTCGCTTCACTGTCCCTCCCCTTGTGCATGCATCACACACTCCCCACCACGGCCCGATTTCAGACACGGAAGTGCAGTCAATGATCTGAAGATAATAGAGGGGCCTGAATAATTAGAATAGGGTTTTGGTGCCCATTATACTATAAATATAATGAGGAAGTGCCAAAATAATGTAGGCAATTGTTGAGGCCCCTATATTAATCAGTTTGGGGTTTAGGGTGCCAGAATGGCCCATCGATTCTGGCCCATCGATTCCATGCCGTGGCGACTCAAGCAGCATAGATGCAATGAAAACTTGAGCTACAAGGTCCCTGGGCTTGTAGATGGGGCTTGAAGACCTCTAGCAGCCCCAACCGCAAATCGCCTTCCCCTTACGACGTCTCCAAAACGTCAGTCCGAAAACACAATCTGAAGAAAACACACGTTGCCAGTAGTATATCGTGTTCGTACATTTATGCATGGAATTGATTTAGCTAACTGTCTTCTTGCTATCTTGTTGCTATGTATGTATATATGTATATACTTCCTCAGTCACTCATCCATGATTTGTTCTTTTACTGGCTCATGTGCTGCTCTGTTTTGTGGGGTAGCTAAGTAGCTAGCTGGTGAGTTAAGTTGTTTTATTGTGAACGCAGCATTTTCCTTTCGGGCCGAGCCGTGCACACTTGGGCCAAGATTATACGAGTTTACATACCGAATTCGGGGTTCGGGGTTTAGGGTTTAGGGTGCTTCACATGCACACACGCCCGACTGCTGCTTGTACAGTTACACCATTTTGCTATTTAGGTAGAAAGTCAGGTAGTGGGTTAAGTAGCAAGTTAGCTGCAAGCTAACTAGTTAGTTAGCTAATACATAATCTAGTCACTCAGCTAGTTAGGTCGTTGGTTAGGCAGTTAGCTAGTTACTCAGTTAGTTAAGTTTTTTGTGCTTGTTACTTTAACTGCTAACTTATTCATGCATGTATATGTATGCACACATTCATCCGTATATGTTTAAGTGCTTGCATATTTGTTTGCGTGCGCGTGTATATGTATGTATGCATGCACGTATTCTTTTTTTTTTGAAAAAATGCCGGAGCCTTGGCGTCAGCATAGTCCGTCATCCTCACGTGAATCTGAGCCACCGAGCCGCCTGGTTCTGCGACTGTTCAGGGTTTAGGGCTTGGCCTGGTGGGTTCACGGCAAGAGAACAGTCTCTATCTCACAGTGCCTCACCAACACCCACACAAGTACAATGTATCTACATATGTATGTATGTATGCATTGTATTGTAGGTATGCATGTATATATATATATGTATAAACAATGCGTTGTGCATATTTGCTAATTCTCGTTAATGATAAAATAATATGTCGGACACTTTTGCTTGAGCCAAATGCAGGCAGGGTCCGTAAGGAGTATGTGGGGACGATATTCTCATCACCCCTCCTTCTGTACATGGCCAACTTTCGTTGGTTGGGTACAGACACCTACTCTACCAGGTGTTTAGCTCCTACGGCTCTGCCCTCGACGAACCTTTGGTTCATCAGTGACATTAGCTTCTCGCAACTTTCCCGGCTCGTGGGCTTCGTCATCAGGTCTGCAATGTTGCTGTCAGTGTGAACTTTGCTCAGCAACACTTTCTTGTCAGAGACCTTTTCTTGCAACCAAAGAAACCTGGTCTGGACATGTCTTTGTTTTCCGAGTCCCTTGCCCATGCTGTCGTTTGATTTCTCTTACGACTAGTCTGCTGCGAAAGTTTTCTTTGATGTGGTCTCCTTTATTTCGATCTACCCATTTCAAGGAGATGGGGTCCTTCTGTGTCTCCTGGTAACACATCTCCAAGGGTACCTTGCGATACACCTCCGCTTTGTGTATCCACGCAAGTTCTTCTCTCCGTGCCTGAAGCACTTTTCCCGCGTCTAACTGTACCCCTGTAACTGAGTCGTAGATGACTTCTTGGTTCTCTTCTTCAGGAAACCACCCTTCGTAGTATTCTTCCTTGTTCTCTTCAGCTTCGTGAGGAGTGGGCCCTGCGCCCACTGCAATCATATGTTCACTTGTTTCTCCATCGGCCATCATCTGTGACTTCAGGCCGCCAACAATGGCTTGCACTTGTGCTACATCATGTATCTTCTTTGTTCTTCTTTCGATGGTCCTAAGAGATTGCAGCTTGTGCGCCATCTCTTTGCTGTTGGTGATCCACGTCACCTTCTTTCTTCGATATCCTCCTTCTTCGTGCATCTTGCACTCAGCTTCTGCTTTGTAGATTTCTTTTCCTTCAAGAAACGTCTTCTCTTTTGCACTTCTTTGGTGACCTTTGTGTTCCACTTGTTCATGTAGAAAGTATTTTCTTCTTTGACTCTGGAAAGAATACAGGTCAATTGCAGCATCAAGGGTGCTGCTGTTGTTGCCTATCACCAGATAGGTGTCTTCTCGAACCATGGTCGCTTGTAGCGTCAACAGGTCTTTCTCCAACCTCCAAGGTTCTCCCGTACTCTTTGCTTTCCCAAGCTCAAGGACGTACCCTACTGGTAGTCCAAAGAAGTTCGCGTTTCCTTCGCGCTCTCTGTTTGCTTTCGCATCTTCACGCTTCAGCCCAATGGCACTAAGATCTTTCGCCAGAGCAAAATGCTCTGGACTCATTTGCAAATTGCTTATCTCGTAAGCTTCGGTGACACTTCCAAGCAGCAGGTTCGTTTGCTGCTCCTGGGCTTCTGAGACCGGCGTTGCGGTCGACGCCCCTCCTGGAACCACAGGGCTCCAAAACTGTCCGTGAGACAAGTCGGACCCAGGTGCTGCTGACCCGGATCCTCCTCCAACAAGGTTCTGTCCTCCTGCTGTCTCCTCGGCCGAAACAACCTGAGGATTAGCAGCGTCTTCTTCCTCATGATACAGATCATCGACCGTAGTCGACGTCTGTCTTTTCATGCTTCCCTTTTCTTTCTCTGTCTCCTTCTTCTTCTTGTCCTGCGCGGTTGTAGCCGTGGACTTGCTGGCTTTTCTCTTTTCTCCTCCAGTTGCAATTTCTGCTGAGACTTCCATGTCCTCGGGATCAGGCTCCCCACTAACCTTGGGTTCCTTCGACCCCTTTTCACTTTTGTCCCCTTCGGATTTTCTTTTCTTTTCGTCTTCAAGTCTTTGCTTGCCTTCTTCAGTGTCTGCAAGTTTCTTGCGGATTCTTTCTCTGCAGTGCGGGTCGTGTGTAACAGCAGGTAGACCCAGCATTATCGCATGACAACCTGGGCAACCAGGAGTGAAGTCATCACTCCCGTCTTCGTTCTTTAGGTCCCTTCTTCGGACGTACAGGTTTCTTGGTCCCGAGTCTCTGGCAACGGGCGTTAGCTTCTCCGACGTGGCTGGAAGATCCACCACGATGGTGGCATCCACGTCTTCCTTTTCTTTAAGGTTGGGCCTCAATTTCCATGGGGCCCCAAGTAGCTTGTCCAGTCCTTCCTTGTTCCACCTTTGCCCTTCAGGCATCCTCTTCACACTGGTGCCCTTGTAGACACCCGTCTCTGTCATGCAGAGCACGTCTGCATTTCTGCCGTGCGTGCCTACGTATAGGCCTTCCATGACCTTGGTCTCGAGGTCTCCTCCCTTGCGGTAGGCTTCTAGCGGTCTAAACCACACTCGTTCCCCGAACTGTACCATAGGTCTTTTCCACTTGCGTCCCGTAAGTCTCGTGTACGGTGTCCGGCCGTCGTCGCCAATCTTAAATCGGCTAAGGCAGAATGTGGCGTGTCTTGACACCCACAACAGAAGAGGGTTCTTAGGTGGTACCTTTCCAAGTCTTTCTTCGAGCTCACTCACAAGAGCTCGTGACTGTCTCTTTGTTTCCCTGACAGCTACCTCTGCAAGCCCATTGGCCTGCTTGTCGCCGGTTGGCGATTCTTTAAGGATAACCTCTATCCCTCGCACGTTTGCTTTGACCTGGTCCTTAAGGGCCTTTATCGAATTCTCATTGTCCGATTTCAGCACCAGTCTTTGGTACCCTGTCTCCTTTAGACAGTTAATCAAGAAGTTGACTGCATATTCATCCGCACCTTTCTGTGGGACCGCGGAGGCCCACACATGTTTGCTCTTGCTGTCCTTCACTTGAAGGTTCGCTGTGTCCTTCTTCTCTTCACTGTACCAAAAGTAGTCAATGGCAACAGTCGGTAGAGATCCTTCCTCTTCCTCTTCATCTTGGGTGGAACCATGCCGATGCAGCGTGGTTCTTGCCCTGACACAGTGGCCACACCATGAGCGGTGGACCGCATGTGCCGTTGCGAGATGCTCCTCGATCTCTTCTCTCGTCGGGTCCTTTGGACTTCTTGCAACCTTTGGTCTCTCGACTTCAACTCCTCCTTCCGCTTCTTCTTCCACTTCGCCAGCGTTCACTTCTCTCAGTTCTCTCTCTCTGCTCTTCACTTCTCTCTCACCTAAACCGGAAAACCCTGTGCTACGAGCGGCTGCTGTTTTGCGGCCGCCGTTGCACTCAGCTACAGTGCTACTGCTGCTGGCCGTCTGCCAGCACTGGGTGAAACGCACCGCGGGCCTTACAGACTCTCGCCTTGCCCCTTGAAAGGGGTCTTCGGTGTCTCTGCCCACTGGTGGAAAACGTAGACGCCCTTCTCTTGGTGCACGGGCGTAAAGGACTCTCCTTTCTTTCCTTGCTTCTCCTCCTTTTCCTTTTCTTCCTCAAGCACCTTGAGGATACGGTTGTAGGCTGGGGTGTCCTTGTGCACGAGCACTCCGCCTTTCTCATCTAGAACGATGAGGCTCCTTTTGCTCACGCTGCTTCCAGCAGCAAGTGGCCTGTGCACGTCTGCAACGTGCGCGGTGACGGCCACCTTCCTGTAGGCTTCGTTCAAGCCCTTCACCTGAACCTTTCCTTGCGAGCTCAAGAACTCACCCGAAGCGGTCTTAAACCTAACCTCTTCTCCCTTGATCGGCTCACCGACATGTCCAGCCAACTCAGTTGGCATAACACTGGCTGCCGCCCCGGTGTCCAGGTTCCAAGTGACTTTGCCTTCGGCGTCAAACGCCTGGATCCCCAGACTGTTTAAGTCTAGGTCTTGTCCCTTTCCTTTGTGCTCTCCTTTGTCCTTTCCTTTGTGCTCTCCTTTGTCCTTTCCTTTGTGCTTTCCTTTGTCCTTTCCTTTACTCTTTCCTTTGTCTTTTCCCTTGTCTCTCGGCGCTGGGCTTCTGCTTCTTCCCTCTCTCCAGGGTGCTGAGGCGATTGCCTCCTCCACGCGCCGGGCCGACTCACTCGAAAGCGTAGGCCTTGCCTTGGGTGGTGCCTTCGGTGGTGTCTTAGGCGCGGGTACCGCGGTACTCGCGGCACTTCCCGTGCCCCTTTTCGCCAGCTGCTTCTTCAACTTCTCCTGGCTGGCCTTCAGCTTTTCAGCGTGGGCTTCCTCCTTCTTCTTTCTATTCTCTTCTCTTTCCCTTTCAAGATCTTCCACCGTAGGTGTGTTCGCCTTGGTCTTTGCCTTTGGCAACGGGGGTGCCCTGGCGATCGTAAGCGGCTTCTGTCCCATCTTGGAGACAGCTGTAGACTGGGCCTTTGCCAGAAAGGCCTTCGCTGCCGCCTTCGCCGCCGCTTTGGCCGCTTCCTGGACAGTGGAAGCGGTTCTCACGCTCTTCTTCTTTTCCTCCTTCTTTTCCTCTTTCTTCTCTTCCTTGGGCTTCTCGGGCTCTTCGGGAGCCGCCTCGGCCGAAACGGCCGGAGGCTTCTCCGAACCCTCGGCCCTTTGCTGCTTTCTCCTTTCCTTCTGTCTTTCCCTTTGCTTTACCTTCCTGCGGGCCACGGCGGATTCCGACCTTTTGCTTCCTCCTTTGTTGCTGCTCTCTCTCCTCGGCTTTGTGAGAAGCGCAAGCTCGTCCTCCTTGAGCTCCTCTCGGAACTTAGCAAGCTCCTCCTTGGTGAGAGCCTTTCGCACTCTCTTCTTTGCCGTTGCCTTTGCACCACGAGCTACCTTGATAGCTCCTTCTTTGCTGCCCTCAGGGAGCAGCACCTCCGTTTCGATGCCCTCTGCATCCAACTTCTCGTTGTCTGCGTCTTCGTAGTCCTCCTCTTTTGCTTCTCCGCTTCGAAACTCGGCTGTCCACCGGTCCTCCAGCTCCTTTCTCTTTTGTGCTCTCTCGGCCGCCGTCTTCATCCTAAAGAGAGTTGCTCGGCGTCTTTTCTTTTCAGCCTTCCAGGCGGCCCCTTTGCTTTCCCCTGCTTCCAAGGCCTTGTAGTAGCGCACGTCGTGGAAGCTTTTGTCAGTTCGGTTCTCCTCCGTGAGCTTGGCAGGCTTTGTCTGGTCACTCGACTTGACGTACTCTTCTAGCACGCGGATCCTTTCAAGGACCTCCTTCAAGGCTCCCTCGGCCTGGTCGTGGGTGTCAGCGTCCTCAGCTTCCTCGGCCTTTCTCTGCAGCTCGTCCCGCTTTGCACACAGTCTGCCAAGTTCCAAGCTCTCCACCACCCGGTGCATGAGCACCGAGCTCGATGCACCGACGTTCCTCTTTGCAGGGGTAGACTTTTCCTCCGGTGGTGCCTCCGGCTCACTCTGTGGGCTAAGCTCTTTGGCCAGGGTCGTAGCGACCTCCTCGGCCTCAGGGTCGCTCGTCTCTTCGTTGTCTGCCTCTGCTCCTTTCTCGGTCTCCTTAAGGTCTTCCTCGCATCCGTAAAGGCTTTCATCGTCACTTTCCTTTTCCATGGCCTTCAGCCTTTTTCCTTCTTTCTTTCTTTCCGCCATCACAAGCCTTTCCCGGGCTTGCTTCATGGAGTTCCTTGCGAACCTCCTCACAACACCTTTCAGCTAGTAGTAGTAGCTTGAAGGTGAACGCCGCCAACCGACGACACCGAAGGAGAGGCCGGAGAACGCCGCGATCAAGAGCAAGAGCGCAGCGCACCCGACCTTAGATGGTGCTAGACAGCACTGCCATCGTGCCGGTCAGCCCAGATGGCTTTGACGACCTGCACGAGCCAAACCTGAGCACGGCGAGAAGCATGTCCTGAGTCAACAGTCCACCCCAGTCTCGACAGAAATGTAGAACTGGGTTTGCAAATGGAGCAAGGCCTCAGAGGGCATTGCCAGCAGATGTGATCCCAACTACCAAGAGCACCACATCCCCATATACAGCGGTCCGAAGACCCTGGGACATTCCAAGCAGGGCTGGCAGCAGCTAGCAGGGCGACTGTACGAGCAGCAGGCTCAGAAAACAACCACTTACGAGTGGGCTCAAGAGCAACCTTACGGAAAAGAGGCCTCCAATCTGGCAGAGCATGCCACTCAGAAGTCTCATGTCTGTCAGACTGAAGAAAGCGGCCGAAGAGATGAGCCCTCCAACCCTCACGCAAAACATGAGCAGCCTTAGCGTGGGGCAGCCGTCCGATTCTGAGATCAAGGCGGTGGCCGGAGCTGTGCTCAAGCACCCAAGGCCTAGTGACAGACCAGCCCTGATCAAGCAAAGAGCCCCGCAAGGTGTGAACCGGGTGTCCACGAGGCCCATTCCATCTCTGCACACTTCGGTCATCCGAGGCCGTGACTGCAGACAACAAGTGCCGAGTAGCAAGGAGCTCAAGGTGCGAGCACCCACCGAGGAGAATACCGCGAATGAACTTGTTGGCCAAGCGACATACGCCGTCGCCTCGGCGTACTTGGGCCCACAGCTTCCAAGTCTCAGCCTGAGTAGGACGGCGACCGAACCACCCATAGCTAGCCTTGGGCATAGCATAGGTGGCAACGGCAGCGTGGTACTGCCTAAAAGGCAGCTGAGCAGTAGCCAGCAAGCGCAGCGTGCGCAAGGTCTTGCCCAGGCGCTCCTTTTCTTCCTCAGTAGAGGTTCTGCTCTTAGCGGCCGTGCAGACCCCCAGCACCTTAGCGTAAGGCTTGACGAACTCAGCAAGGCCGAAGTCTTCGGCAACCCTGGTTTTTGCCGCAGTGGCGGCCGCGACAACTACTTTCCTTTCGTTTTCAACAAGACCAACTTGGCTACTCCAACGGAACCATTCTCTCTTGGAGGCGACTATGGTTTCGGGCTTGGAAGCAACAACAGTACGGTCGTCGACAAAGACAGAGGTTTTAGCATCGCCACGGACATGCTCAGGGAGCCGTTGTTTGACGAGGTTAGACCCACAAGTGGCCCAAAGGGCAGTGACGAGAGGTCCAAGCGGGTCGCCCTGGGGGACTCCAACCTTAGTGTGTAGCGGCTGCTCACAACAGGTGCCAGACCACGAGATCCAGCGAACCTGATGCGTCCAAAGGTCACAGCATATGTCTGCCAACCCCTTGGGAAGGCCGAAGTCCTGCATGATACGTGTGGTAGCAACAGGGGACAGCGTATCAAAACATTTGGACCAATCCAAACTCAAAAGAAGCCCTTGAGTATGAAACTCTTCGAGGATGGAAGAAGCAACCGCGGGAACAGCTTGGCCGGCCCTAGCGCGGATCTCAGGCGGGAGGTTCAGTGAAACCCAAGTTTTCATGCCATCAGATTTCGTCCAAGTAGTGATCCACAATCTCCAGAAGGTGTTGAGAACACTAATGGGACGAGTGTCAGAAACCTTGAGCTTCCCTTCGAAAGCTTTACCAGGTTTAGGGAGACTAACCATTCTGATGTGATGCAAAGCCTCAGGGATCTTAGAGGCCTGATGCCACCTCATAGCAACCCTGCGAAAGGCATCAAGCATGTGAATGCTCAAGTGAGCAAGTTCGGAACCAGTCCAACCATCGGGCCCGCAAGAGCCTTTTTGGGCCCGAGCATGCCTGAGCAACTCCTGAGCGGAGGGGGGAGGTATGTCGACAGGTCTACACTGGGGCAGGCCCTGACGGAGCACAGCATACACTTCGTCCTCAGAAGGCTTGTGAGCGGAGTGCTTTTGCCAGAAACTCTCCCAGTAAGTTCGGACAAACGTGGCCCCTTGTTCCAACGACTCAGCAACGACTTCGCGTTCGTTGACAAGACAAGCAGGGGCAGGGTCCTCTTTAGAACGAAGCCACTTGCCAAGGGCCTTGGGGTCCTCGATCATGTTGCGTTTCCAGCGAGAGATAGCAGCTCGTTTCTCTTCAAGCGTTTGCTTCTGAACCTCACTAGAAGTATTACGTATGAACAGCTCCAAGGTGCCCAAGTCAGCTTTCTGAATGGGTAAACGACGAAGCAGCTTAACGACCTGAGGGTCCTCCTGAGGCAAGCCAGACCGACGAAGCCTGGAGAGCTCACAGGCTCTAGCGAGAGCTTTGCGCTTCTTTCGAAGCTGAAAGGAGGCTGTGTCAAGCTCAGGGCCACGGCTTGACCATTGCAGCCACAGGTGCTGGCCAGGCCGCCCTTTGTGGCCCTTAGCGGTTCGCAGTCGCAGGTCAAGGTCATTTGCGCTGTCAGCAGTAGCCTCCTGCTTAGCCCTTCGCAGGGCCTCGAGAAAAGCAGCCTGCAAAAGGCCCTGAAAGGACCACCACTCTTCATCAGGGTGGACAGGCCCCGAAAGACTAGAGAGGAAGCTGGGGACCTCAGGATTGGCCTGCCAGGCCTCATCAAGAAGCTGTCTCCACCGTTTGGCAGTGACCCCAGAAGGTTTGGAGAAGTCAGGCGTAGTGCGAAGCATGCCTCTGCGAGACTCGCGACACCGCAACTGGATGCTGGTGTGCAACGACACGTGCTCAGAAACACGAATTTGACCCGCACGCAAAGCTTGAACCTCGGCAGGCCGATTGACGAGGAAAAAATCGATTTCACGATTGCTATCCCAACGAGTGGAACGGCCGAGCCTAAGGGCCTGACCCCCAAAAAGCCCGGCGTGATCAATGATCGCGGAATCAGAAAACTCTTCGTTAAGATCACCACCGATGATCCACCTTTGAGCCGCGGCCGCAAGATCAGTCCTATTGTAGAGAGTGAGAAGCTCGCAGAGCTCGTCTTGAGGCAAGCCTTCGTACCCTGGGGGGGCGTACATGCTCCCGAAGTGGACCCCACCGACGGCGACAATCAAGAGCTGAGAGTGCTGGCGAGCATCGCTGAACACCAGCCGCTGAGACAGGCGCTTAGACGCGAACACGGCAATGCCACCACGGACAGTGGGGTTGCCCCACCCATCACGACTGGCGCCCCCTTTCTGGTAGTAAGCTTGGAAACCCCAACGTTGTGCCTTACGCTGAAAAGTACTCCATTGCGCATCAGACATGCAAAGCTCCTGCAGCAGAACAACGTCGTGAACGTCAGTAGAAAGCCACTCTTTGACAGCTGCGTAGGCACCAGAAGTGCCCCCTACGTTGCACGAGACCACTTTTGCAGACAAGGGTCGGATTGGCTCCCCAGTGACGACGACGTTCTCACCCTGACCAGAGGGTGAAGCCTGAGTGGGTCCTGGGTGGGAGGCCTCAAATCGAACCCCGTTGTAGGCAGCGGTAAGCTGAGCCTTGGTAACAGTCTGGGTGACGCGACAAACCTTAAGAGACCCAGCGCGGCCCTTAGGAGCAAACACTGGACGAGTCCGAGAGAAATTAGAGACTTTCCCTAGGCCAGCGGACGAAGGACCAGGGTTACTGGCCTCACCAATCCTGCAAGAGCGCAGGCTAGCGGTGCTCTGAGCCTTGGTGTCAGGTTTAGGGGCCTTGAAAAACCGATTAGCATCTCGAACAGTGCAGTTCCAGGCCCTGCACATGATTTTCTTGACAGGCGAGGTCCTTTCGTGCCAGAAACGGCACTGCAGGGGGTGAGGGGCCTCAGAAGGTCCTCTGCACTCGATGAGCCTGCTGAGGTTATGCCGGATGAAGCGACACCGAAGGCAGCTGAGGACCTTAGTGGATTTAGAGGATTCAGCATGCTCCCCGAGATCGACGTAGCAGAGGACGTGCCCCTTAGCCTGCTCCTTAGACAAGATCGGTGCATTGGGCAAGCGGCCCTCGCAGTCAACATAACCAAAATAGCTGTCTGCCTGCTCAAACGAAACTTTCCAGGCGGCGAGGAGTGACTTCACATCACAAGACCTGTGCTTGGCCCACCACGTGCGGCTAGACCCAGTAACAGGAACCGGCTTTCCGAGACACTTAACCCGGGTGAACGTGGTAATGGCATGGCCCCGAAGCCTGCACTTGGAGCAAGTCAAGTACCTGCCACGACCAGATCTGAGATCAGGAGCATCCAATCTGCGGACATCATGTCCCCCAAACTCCTTGGTGGAAGAACTACGATCGCACGCAGCTTTGAGTTTGTCAGAGATCTTGCTCCGTCCTTCTTTGAGGTATTGCACCTCCTTCCAATTATGCCAACGTTTGGCATACATCCGTTTGCGAGACATGCGGGGATGAACCGAGCTTCTATGAAGTTCGATGCTCGCAGTCTTGACATTGCGATCAAGTTTGGGGAGCCCAACTCGGCAGATCGGGCATTCCCAGTCTCGCTGGTCCTGAGGGATATTGGCAGAGGCAACTGCGGGTTCAGGCTTTTGACGAAACAAGCAGTTAGGAGGCATCTTTTCACCCACATGCTTGACGCACCAGTGATTCCAAACCATCTCCCTAAGTTTGGCGTGACAAGGAGCCCGCAAAACGATGTCGCAGCTAGGACACGTCCACGGAGGGTTGTCACTACCAATAGGTCTAGTTCCAGGCCCCGACGAGGTACTCGGAGCAGTGGGCAAACGGGAGTCGGACTCGGGAGACTCACCTTCCTCAAGTTCATTAAGGTTAGCGATGTCACTGTGACTAGAGGCAGAGGGGCCCGTAGAAGGACGACAAGCACTGCCAAGACATCTGAAGCCTTTGCATTTCCCGATGATCCTAAGACGTTTAGGAAGACCATTAGGGCCAAGAAGAGCACTAAGGTTGGCCCGGTTCTTGTCTTCACCAGTGTGCTCCAAGCTTGGGGCCTTTATAGGAGTAGAACAAGGGAGCGAAAGAGCAGCCTTGCGTTTCTGACCCTGAAAGGCAGCCCGCGCAGAACCAGAACTACAGCCGGAAGCGCCCTTAGGAAGAGGCACGGGATCCTCGGAAGAAAAACACCCAGGTTTGGGGCCCAAAACCAGGCCTCGAGAAGAGCCCTGCGAGAAAAAAGAGCCTGAACCCCCAGGACAGGAGGGAGTAGCCGAAGGAAGAGACGAGGGCTGGCAACGCTTGGGGGTGCTGCCAGGGAGGGAAAGAGCACGACGTGGGGTGCTTGCGGAGACTGACAAAGCCTCAGAGAGAGCGCCAGCCCCTCTAAGCTTGTCAGTACCCGTGTACTCAGTGCGCCACAGCCAAGACTCCGGCACAGCGACAGCTGGATCTGCCGGAACCAAGGCACGGTAATGACGATCCCTGAGGGCGAGTACGATGGGTCGCTGCTTTTTGGCAGCCTGAGCAGTGTCATTAGCCCAGAAGGGCGCATACACTGACCTCAACCAAGTGCCGCAGCTGCTATTGAAGGCCCATACGACTATAGGTGAGCCCAGTCTTTCGGCAAGAGATCTCAACTGAAGCTCATCAATCCACACTTCGCGCTTGGGCGCGAGTTTTAAGTAGGAGTCGAAATCACCTGGAGCCTCGTGACCACCCCACACATCAGGGCATTCGTCAGGGTCCGGGGAAAAGCTCTCCTCAAACTTCTTTTTATGCTTACTCATGTGTGTGACGGCAAGGAGCCGCAGTGTTGAAGCTTGAAGCTTGAGATCTTCATCAGTTAAAGCCGGTTTGCCTTGGTTGACTTGCAGTGCAGTGGCTGTGGCACGGTAGCCGCAGTCACCAGTTCCGCCCGCTTCCTGCAGAAGCCACGGCCCCAGGTCCTGAAGGAGTGTCTCATCGGGTGTGAACTTCCTGGCAGCAGCAACATGCTTGGCAGGTTTACTCTTTTCTTTCTTGGGCGATCTGGATCTAGCTCTCGTCTCAGCTTTAGCCGTAGTAGCCCCAGTAGCTCGCAAGGTCTCGGAAGCGCTTTCCTCGTCGTCATCCGAAAGGTCGATTTGCGTAGGTTGAATGCTAGCAGACCTATTGGGGGGCCGGTCAATCCACTTCTTTTTGGGAGGTTGGACCTTGACGCTCTCAACAGGCTTCTTTTTACGGTGAGGCTCCTCAGCAATAGTGAGGTATGAGTCGACATCGGAGTACGACCACGAGGGGCCTTGGGAACCTTCAGGAGGCAGGGCCTTGACAACCCACTCGGGAGTATTGTTTTTTGACCAGCTACGTCTACGAGCAAGAACCTCAACTTCAGTCCAGTTGGCCGATTCGAAGAATTCGGCAACGTCCTCCTGCGACCAAGCACGAGCCGCACCGTGGAGAATGTAGTGTCTCGGCCTGGGACCTTGGAAGCATTGCCCTCCGACCACTCCAAGATCAGCACGTTTGGACTGGCGCAAAACGAGAGGACATCCCATCCCTGCGCCTCAGCAGAGGCACTAGCAACCCGAAAGTATTGCTCATCATCGACGTCCTGATCAAGCGGCATCCAGGCGACCGGGCTTTTCGTCTCACCTTTCGAGACGAGAGTCGAAAAGAGGCCCCTCTTTCCACTGAGCGAAGCGGCTTTGCGACCCAGAGCCAGCGGAACCCTCACGTGACCTGAGAGGCATGAGCCTCTGGGAAGATGCAACGTCTCCCATGTGCCTCCCGTCAGTTCATTGACCTTGCATCCCAGCATGCTAGCCCAAGCTGAGATAACGGTAACCGGTGTGTCCTGCGTGGAAGAGCCAAGGAAGATCTGTCTGTACTGTCTCGGCGCAAGCAGTCGCAGAGTAGTCATCTCGACTTTTGGTTTGACCTTGATAGCAACTGTCAAAGGCGGTTTGGGCTCGGGGCCCGGAGTCGCCGTAAGTTGGCGGACCCGGACTTGAACCCTTTCAGGCTTCGGGGAGTCCTTAAAGGGCCTAAACCAGACTGCCACAGAGGGCCCGGAGCCCTGTGCCTGAGTCACTTCAGCAAAAGAGAGAGATTCACTGATTTCGAAAGCATCAACAAGGTTGAGAAGGCTTTCGAGGCAGGTGGAACTGCGACTGACAACGAGGTTACCAGGGAGTTCCGCTCCTTCTTCCAAGGCCTTTTGAATCTGAGGGACCGTAGTCAGCACGATTTCAGAGTTCCATTCGGAAGGTTCGATGCGGAGAGCATACTTGCTACTCTTCGAAGGAGCGTTGACCTTGAGGAGCTCAGGGAACTGTTGGGGGTCAACTTTGCGCTTCTTATTAGGCCCTCCTTCGGAAGCCTCCTTGGGTGGCGGACAAGAGCCAGTCTGCCTCCGAGGAGGCTGAGAAACGGGAGCGGACGCCCAAGTGGCCGGTTCATCGGCCTGGTCACCTGAGGCGTAGAGACCCTCGTCCGTGTAGCTCACACCTTGGTAGTGGGGATCAGCCCACCAAGAGGTCCAAGCTTCGGGATCCCACCATCCCGTTTCAGGGTCTTGACCCTGCCAACAGGAGGAAGTGATGCAAGCTGGTTCCCACCACTTCCAGTTGTAGTCGCTGTCTTGGCTGTCCTCAGACCACTCGCCCCAGTAGCTATGTGCTGCCTGAGCACTCTGCCACTGTCGTACCCCGCGGCGGGGCTGTTGAGGCCACCAAGCAGCGTCACTGGCAGCCTGACGTTTATCAAGCACGAGAAGCACCGATTGAACGATGGCTTCCAGTGCTTTCTGGTTGAGGCCCGTGTCCTTAAGTTGCGTTTTCTTTCTCCTGGCCGCAGCCAAACCTCCAGGGCCTGGGTGCGAGGCCTCTCCTACTCGCGTGCCACAAAACGGGTCGAAGAACAACGCGGAGTACCACACCCAGACGGCCTCCCAAACCCTGGTGTACCACTTGCACTCAGAGGTCGGGACCACGGAAGGAGGCCAAGGCGCAAGCTGTGTCTCAGCGTCGAGTGCTTCAGGGGCCTGCTCACAGCCCAGCTTACGGCCCGAGCCACCTGTGCGGCCCTGAAGCTTCCACTTCAAACGTTCAAGTTGCAAAAGACGAGTCCTAATTCTACATCTGAGCCTGGCACCTCTAAGGCGAACACCAGCGACAAATCTGCAGCTAAGGATGACGCGTCTGCTAAGCGGAGCGCTCCGCTGTGTAGCAGCTCGTTCTTTTCTTCTCGCAACAGTTTTCTTGTACTGTCTGAGGCGCATACGGAGCCGAAGCCTCGACCTCTGAGGACGACGCTTACCCCGGCTCTTATGCACCAAACTTGAGGTCCGACTGCGCACGGCCCTCTTGCCACCAACCAAAGCTAAGGCAAGGCCCAGCTCAGCAAGAAGCTTTACAAAAGAAAGACCAAAACATGACCTCCCATGACTTACGCAAGTGAAGCAAGCTTGGTCTGAAAAAACCGTCCGAAGGCCGACGGCACCTTCTTCGAAAACCCTATGGGTAAGCCCACAGGTAAGGAACAGGAACAGGGGTCCGGCTGAGGAGTTTTATTAATGAAGTTGGGTAAGCCCACAACATGTTGAAAACGTTCCCAGGGACAAAAGCTGCTCGCCAGCGCCGCACTCGACTTCGCTTCCCAGCCATGGCAAGACGTGGCAGGGAGCAAAGGGAAGCCCGAAGGGCAGTGGTTTAGTGCATCCAAGGCGCAAGAGCTGTTTGCACGAAGTGGATATCCCACTCCGCACGACAGGTTCACCACTAAGATAAACCAGTAGAGAGGCTTACCCAACCAACCCGAGGTATGGGAAAAGCTAAAACTAGGAGTATTAATCACTCTTTTAGTGTGCATCTTTCTTTGCAATCTGAATTCAGTCAGCCCGAGGGCCTGTTGGTAGCTCTGAGCTATCTTGGCATCTTGTGTGTAGGGCGCAGAGGCCTCTCCATCGTCCTCCTTGGGATCTTGAAGTTGTTTCTTGACAGGGTCAACTTTGACCTCTTTGCTTGATTCTTGCTTTTGTTCTTGCTTCTTCACATTGTCACCGCAGTGATAACTAGACATCTTTCGCTCCCTCACAAGAGGGCCCGCTGCCACCGAGGAGTTAGTCCAGGAGGTAGATGTCAAGCAGCCAACACCTTTCAGCTTCTTTGTTCGGTCGTCGCAGCTGCTGCAGGCTTCATCAAGCCCAGTGTTGTCACTCAACATACGGTGGTAGACCGCCTGCGCTATGCTGCCTCGTTTGCCCAAGGTGACCTCTCGAGCAGCCATCAAGCGCTGACGGTACGCCGTATCTGGAACCTCTCTCCAGTCGCAGGCGGTGTCCTCTCGAGCTCTGCGGTTCGCCCTCTGTTCAGCTAGCGCTCGGATGCGCTCCGGAACGCCCTCGAGAGTTGGGGCAGTAATGGTGGCCACGGCCGAGACAGCCGGCGGCACACCACCTTTCCCCTTTCCACTTTTCTCTTTTCCTTTTCCTCTTCCTTCCATTCTCACCTCTTTTCCTTTCGGCCCCTCTTGCTCTTCAAACCATATGCTCTGCTTCGGGGCCATCGCGGCTTCAGAGCACAAGGCGCCGCGGGCTACCGGGCTACTCTCTACCGAGCCCTCCGCTGCCCGAACCGGCTGCGGATACTGTCCGCTTTCTCCTTCTACGCTCTCTCGACCCTTGCGCTCCGAACCCTCACTACTAGAACCCTTCTTTCTCTCTTCTTTCTCTAGCGCGCACAACAGCAGAAACCCTGTCTCTGCTTCCGGTTCTTGTTTGGGTTCCTCTTCGCCTTCTGCTTCCTCCATGCTGTTTGCTCCTTTCGTCTTGCCGTGCTTTCCTCCTTTTCCCTTGCCTTTCTTTCCACCTCCTTTCTTGCCTTGCGGGCCTTTGTTGTACCAACAGTCTCTCGCCCAATGGCCGGTTTTGCCACATACGTTGCATACGTTCGGGTCGTTCTTCTTGTTGTTGTCGTGTCCTTTGTTTCCACCGCCTTTTCCCTTTCCTTTGTCTTTGCCCTTTGGCTTTCCTTTCCCTTTGTCTTTTCCTTTTCCTTTCTTTCCTCCTTTTCCGAAACTCCCGACATCCATCGCATCTGGATTGGACGGATGGCCCGTGCCAATCTTCAGTTTTATTCCTACTCTCGTTTCCAAGTACGACGCTATTTCGTCGTACACCTCCTCAAAGGTGTCCAGCCTTTGTCTGTTTAGCTGTAAGTGTTTTTCCAGCTCGACTGGACAGATGCTCTCCAGGATGGAGATCTTTATGTCATTGGGAAGCTCGGCCCTTCCACCGGCTCCTCGTCTTTCTTCGTATCTCCGCACAAGTTCCATCCACTGCTCTAGGTAGGCTGATAGCTCTGAAAGCTTCTGCCGCTCAGGTGTCAGGATATGTTTCAGGAGGCTTTTCTTTCTTCCGCCCGTCGCGGGGTCGTATCTTCTTGCCAGTTTCCTCCATCCTTCTAGACCGTTTCCTTTCGATATGTTCCTGATGATGGAAAACGGCTCATCCTCAAGCAGGCTCTGCAACACAGCGTATAGCTGGGCAAACTTGTTCTCGTACCCATCTATTTCTCCTTGCGCGCCTCCGGTGCCGAATGCGGCCCGGACCTGCGCCATGCTGATTGCAGCCTCTTGCTCCTCCGCCCATTCAAGGGCTTTCTCTAGCTCAGGAAACACTGAGAAGATAAAGCTTTCTGTCTTCGTTTTCCACTGTAAGTAGTGTGACTCTTCTCCTTTGAACCTGTCGGGCTTTGCTACACCTCGGTTGTCGACTAGCGTGAGTTCTTTGCCCCGACTTCTCACAAGCTCTTCAGTCATTCTAGTTTGCCCGTCGGCAATTGTTCTGACCAAATCGGTCATGTGAGCACTTTGTTCTATTCTGCTCTCCAGCACCGACTCGCGCTGTCTGCTTATCTGAAGCTCTTGCGTAAGTTCGGTCACTCTCTGGGCTAAGCCTTGCATCTGTTGCATAGCTTGCTGAAAATCCCCGGCGGTGGGTTGCGCCATCGCTGCAAGGAAAATTTCCTTCTACAGCACCAGGGAACTGGGCTCAAGGTTCCCCGGAAGGAGCCGACAGCTCCGCTACCATGATAAAATAATATGTCGGACACTTTTGCTTGAGCCAAATGCAGGCAGGGTCCGTAAGGAGTATGTGGGGACGATATTCTCATCAGTTAACATAGGTACACATATATATATATATATACATATATATAAATGTATATGCACATACATACATAGTATGTGTATATATATATATATACACACACGCACACACCAATAATTTGGCCTAGTTGCTGCGTGCAAAATTGCAAAGGTAGGCCAAAATAAATCAGGGCTACCTACTCAAACACTAAGTTTGGAGCCGCTACCAAGTTCAAGGGTTTGGGAACCGTTTCCCGATGTCTCGTAAGTTTGGATTGGGTTCTCGAGCTCAGCGGATGGCCTTCACATGTTCAAGGCAGTGCATCTTCGGGGCTGCGTACGAAGGCTCATTAGAGGGTGATGCAGTGAACCCAGTGCCATCCTTTTGCGGGGCTCTGCGTTGCGAGCTGCGGTAAATTCCAATTCCGGACGTTCGGCTCGAAGTCCCCCAAGACCCTGGATTCTGGGCTCAGGCTAAGACGGAAACCCTGCCGGGTTAGGGTTCCGGGTTTCCAGCTCTCGGCCCAAACCCCTCGTCTTCTTCTAAGGTTGTAGTATACAGCCCTGCAGAGCTCAAAGATAGAACCCATAAAGCAAGAGAGTTTGTGGCTCCCGCTGGCTCCCAATTGAACTATGTACTCCTGAAAAGAGCAGCCCTCCTTCCCCGAACCCCCCCGAAAGCAAAACATCGCGGGGACTGCTGAGACCGCCGTAGTAGGCGAGGTAGAGCACACCACCCACGATGGCTGACAGGAGATCGGGACTAGGACGGACAAGGAAGTCGGGACCCGCAAGCTACGTAAGGTTGAGGTGGAAGCAGAACCATAACTCCTAAAACCTTGATCTACCTGGCATTTACGGAAAGTCGTCGCTTCAGCAGGTAGCTTTCGATTCTGGGCACTTGAAAATCTAAACTTATATACAAGAAATACAAGATATGGTATCTATGGCTTATAACGTGCTTTACTTATAGAAATACAAGTACAGTAAAATCAGCGAAGAGATGGATAGATAAATCAAAAGATACATGAATACATATAGCAACAGCAACAATAACACCAACGTTTGTAACACCACTACTAACAATCATTCTACTAACAGTGATAATAAGTTATGTGTTGCAGCTTTGGGTTGGAGTCTGAAGGACATTTCAGAGGCGAGGGGCATTGAGCTGTAATCCTTGAAGACCTCAACAAACAACCCTACCGCAAACCCTAAACCCAAGACACTGGACTAAACCCTAGGCACTGAACGGCACCAAACCCTAAACCCTATCCCTAAACCCTGAACACGAAGTCCTAAACCATCAACAACAAACAATCCCCATCCTCCCAGAACCGAACTGAATTTCTGTAGAGGGTCAGCTCAGACGATGTGGCGTTTAGTTTAAGGTCGTGGCTTTTTGGGCATACTAAAGTTCAGTAGTTTCTCTTTATTAAGAGCCCTGAACCATGATATTGCTGCGTGTTATGGCTTCCATACTATAAGAAAAAGCGCAATCGTGAATGTGAACCTCCAAGCCCTCTTGCTCAGCCAGTACAGTGGGCCTTCAATACTTCGAATAGGCTTTTCGGCTATGACTTCGTAGAAACTGCTGTTAAGGAACCTTCAAAACTATACATATCACTACATTCTGAGTATAGTATAGTCTTTGTGGGGCTCCTCAACCCAAAGCCCAAACTCACAAAAAATCCTGGGAGGATGCATCGGGATCCCATGAAGTGGATCCGGGTATGAAAAGAGAAGCCTCAACAGTTGGCAATATCAATGTCGAAGCCTTGATAAGTGCTAATGTTACGGCTTAGGCTTCTTAATATACTTGCAGTACAGTATACCCCAACACCCTATTCATGTTATGGCTTATTAGTTTCCTCATGTACTTGTAGTATAGTGTAATCAACACCCTATTAAGGCGTCTGTAGTTTTTGCAGGGTTCCTGGAACCCCACGCAGCAGGAACCTGAAAAGTTACCAAATCAGCCCTACTTGGAGGGGCTTTAGGGGACTTAGTAAGGGCTCTTAAAGGGCTCCTTCAAGGGATCTATAGGGTTCCTTACAAGGGATCTATGGGGTTTAGGGTTTAGGGTGCTACTTGGAGGATCAGGGGACTTAGTATGTAGGTTATGAGTAGAGTTATAAGTACCATAAATGGAGTTACCCCAATTATAACCCTATATATAACCTACTTACTAAGTCCCCTGCCCCTCCAAGTACGTTCGACATTTTCTTAGCCAAGGGGCTCAGTAGATTAGAAAGCCGATAGACGTTCAAGATGAACGGCTTCAGCATCTGGTTCTTGATCTTGGCTTGGCTTGGGACAGTTCTTTGGTTCTGCTGAATGTTTCACTGGGTGTTGAAAGGGCTTCTTTAACGGGGCTCTAGTATACTTGGCAATGCTTTTTTTGGAGTTTGGCGGAAGTTTCAGGATGGGCCCTTTTCTGCAATCCCAACCAGTGCAATCCTTATCACAACGACCCTTACGGGACTCAAATTTTCCACAAGCCCGATATAACAGGCCTCGGCTCGCACGAATCAGGATTTCGACGCTTTGCGCTACCTAAATTACAAGCTCCCCAGACCTTGCCGAAAGATCGAAAACTGGGGCATCCCTCAATCAAAGCGTTGTATGCGCGCGCATTTGCAGCAACAGCAGCAGCGGCAGCGGCAGCAGGCTGAGGAGTTGCATTCGAGTCGTCGAAGTGGTGTTGAAGTAGAAGTAGCTGTTGTGGTGGTAGTAGTAGTAGTAGCTGTCGTAGTCGTAGCAGTAGTAGTAGTAGTAGTAGTAGTAGTAGTAGTAGTAGTAGTAGTAGTAGTGGTGGTAGTAGTAGTAGTAGCAGGAGGAGGAAGAGGAGGAGTAGTAAGAGTAGTAGTAGTCGTGGTATTGATAGCATCGTCTTCATCCTCGGCAGCAACAGCAGCAACAATAACAGTAACATGGCACGGCCCCCCGGCACCGCCATCAAAAGCACCATCATGTCATCGCTGCCACCGTTGCCGGGTGGCCCCCGTTTCTTGGGCCCAGGGCGACTACAACAAACCCTAGGCTAAGGGACGGGCGTTTGCCCGCATGTATTTGGGGAAATATGCGTTTTACTCAAAAACACAGGTTTTCTGAGGTTTGGACTAGTTTTGTTGGATACGAAACTTGGAAGTTCCGTGTAGAAGGTTTGGGGAGTACACGCCAGGTTGGGGAGCATGGAGCAAGCATACCACAGGAGAGGAAGGCCTAGCTTACTTGAGAAAAAACGAGGTTTTTGTAGGTCTGGACTTGAGGAGTGGTTGTTTTTTTGCAGGAAGATGTCTCTATTCGGAGATGTTGAAAAGCGCGGCCCAAATTTCATTTTTACGGGGTTGGCAGGGAGATTGTTTTAAACACGGACGTAATCATCGTTCGGCCATGGATGCTCTGGCCAATCGCACGCACTGGTAACACGGACGTAATCATCTTTCGGCCATGGATGCTCTGGCCAATGCACGCACGGGCAACGCGGTACTTACCTTTTCAGCATTTTAAACACGCACAACACAGTAAATACCGATGTTTTCAGCAACACTGCGCGTGCAAAACCACAGACCCAAACAACATGCGATTGCTTCTTTCAGGATTCGATCCCCAACACTGCCAGCATGCACCGGAGTAAGAGCGGGCAAACGCCCAGCCCTGACCCAAACCCTAGGCAAATAGATTTGGGTTCGGGGCCACCGACCAACAGCATCCCCCACTGTAGACTCCGGAAAGCGAACCCCAAATTTCTTAACAAACAAGCCCACACCTCCTCAGCTCAGGTCCCTGAACGAACTACTGAATGCCCCACAAAAACAAGAAGGATCGGCTGTACCAAATACACCGAAGCTCCGCAGATTTCTTGAAACACTGCTAAACTCACTTAAGAACACCTCAACCCTGGACCCAAAACCCAACATACCAAACCCAAAACCCTAAACCCTAACCCCAAAACCCTAACCCCAAAACCCTAAAACCCTAAACCCTACTATAGATTCCTCCTAGCCCTTTAAAGAAGCCTCGAAGGAACGCTTATGATACCCTTTCAAGGCACCCAGAACGGCTCTCTGCCCAGACCTTCCAAAATCCTTTAATTAAGGAATATACCTTAAATCATATTCGGGATCCTACTATAATTTAAGGTATATTCCTTCATTCCGGGATTTGGGAGTCCCCTTGAACCCTAAACCCTATAGATCCCTCATAGATCCCTTGAAGGAGCGCTTAAGGATCCCTTTACAGGAGCCCTAGGTATTCCTTATGGATTTTGGAGTCTCTGGGCTCTGTGGCCGAGTAAGTAAGTAGGTAGTACGTAAACTTTCAAGTACCCCAAAAAGGGACCCCTACCTAGAAGTCCGTAAAATAGCTAGTTACTAAGCCCCCCGACCCTCCAAGTACGTCCCACACCTTCAGGACGACATGACAGTCAAAAGTAGGGGCCCTATACCCTCACCGTATACTATGAACCTCTATATGTTACATTAACTAAACGGCTCTCTGTATACCCCAAACCCTAAACCCTATAGATCCCTACAAGGAGGCCTTTAGGAAGGCCTTCAAGGTTACTAAGTCGCATGATCCCTTAAGAAGGAACGGCTCTCTGTGGCCGAGCCAGGTCTGGTACCCTAAACCCTATAAACCCTATAGATCCCTTAAAGGAGCCCTTAAGGAGCCCTTTAAAGGAACCCTTAAGGAGCCCTTTAAAGGAACCCTAGAGATTTTGGAGTCTCTGGCTCTCTGTGGCCGAGCGGCAGCCTGGCGCCACATCAGCGCCTCCACCAAAGCGCAGGCAGCGAGGCAGACGCCGGCGAGGACCTGGGTTCGGGCTTGGGGTTCAAGGGGTTTAGGGTTAAAGGGGT